TGGAGGCTATTATATGAGTACTAAATCTTCATTGCCCCATTGGGGCATAGTTAATTTAAACAGCCACTTGAGCAACAAGTAATATTTCAATTGTAAGCCATGATGAGTTATTCTCTGTTTGCATATATTTCCTAAGGACTCTGGAGATTAAACCTATTTGCCATTGGTCCAAAGTTTGTTCCTGCTCACCTTGTTGTTTTTGGCGATTGCCACAGTAGGGGAAAGGGGACATTTTATTGGTTAGCCTAGACTGAGTAAGTGACCTCTGCTTAAGAAAGCATGGGAGGGGAGATTTGACTTATTTTTTACTTTTCATCACAGCTCATCTGATCAAATACCTAATCCTTCTGATATGTAGCTAGCATTGAATGGAGCACAGGGCAACATATACTTCAGGTAAGGTAAGAATTTCAGCCCTTATTTTACTTTTAATTTATGTGTCCCTGCAAAACTGACTGAATATTTTAGTATAAGTGTACATTATTGTAAAATGTACAGATGAAATTGAATCACTGTGCTATTCATTGGGGGTGCACTGCAGAGTCACTTTTCTCAAATCTGGTCTTGCCTGACCTACTCTAACTGTAGCAAGCCTTGTATACTGTCAGCAGCCTGTGAGATGGGCACTGTCTGTGCAAGCCACAACATTAGACTCTGCCTTTTAACTACAAGAATCAATGGAAAGACCAAACTGGCAACTTTGATTCTCTCAACAAACTTCTCATCACTAAAAGCTCAAATCTGGAAACTTGAAAGGAAATCAGCCAATAACAAGCCTGTCATGAAAGTATAATAATCAGAGACTACCTCCAGTGAAACTGCATGTCAAAACTGCCTGCAGACCCAGAGATTTGAGCAGCTAATGATTTATGCCTATATGCATATATACTATATGCATCTCAACTTTTTCAGTTCTTTATGATGGGTGGCCTTGTTATCATATAGGGAGAGCTTGCTATCCAATAGGAGGGATCAAGAATTAGGAATTAATGGGGCCATGTGTGACCTTTACAATAAAATCCAGATTTAGCTGCGAATTCAAAAAGTCAATGAATTCAGCTGGCTGCACTGATTGTTCGGTAGGCTATGCATAGACATATTTTCTCTATATGCTCAGTTGATATTTCCCAAGTTTCTGATAAGTTTACCTTAAGCAACATTCTAATATATCATCCCTACCCAAAGTTTCAGAAAATTATATCTTGTCTTAGATTTCTAAGGTAAAGAATAGAAAGATTTGCAGTGCATTTTATAAAGATCTGCGCAACTTTGCTGAGTCATATCATAAAACATGGGACTGATTTACTAAGACTGGAGAGTGCAAAATCTGGTGCAGCCGTGCATGGTAGCCAATCAGTTTCTAACTTCAGCTTGTTCAGTTGAGCTTTGACAAAAAAAAATGGAAGCTGACTGGGTTCTATGCAGAGCTGCACCAGATTTTGCACTCTCCAGTTTTAGTAAATTAACCCCATAGTGTGATTGTTATCTACAATCAAATTGCATATTTCATGCTATTTGGTATAATGCTTCTAGAAGTATGGCTTAGGGGTTAGAATCAATATATACTTGTCTTTCAGGAAAGGCCTTAAGATATTGCACTTATTACATATCAAGACTATGGCTTTTATTTTAAAAGTAGGAACTGCGATATTACTTGCTAAAGTAATTGTGGGACTAAATGTGTGACATATGTGACTTCAGTAAAGCAATTTGATTACTAGGTTCTTTTGTTATAGGTTCATAAAGGGTCTACTAACCCTAACCCAGTACTATTGAGAACAGCATTAGGATAATTCTCCTATTGTTATACATACCACCTTTGCAGATTAAGTCTATCGTTCAGTAATAAAAGGTGCTCACAGACCAACAATATACCTGAGTGGATGAACTAGCACATTATCAGACTAATCATGAACAGCACTGCAATACAGATGTGACACTACAGGTCTTGGTACAGGAAAATGGAGAGGTGCAGGGGGGATTGGTGACCTTTAGATATCTTCCATGCTGGTTTTGTTACCAGAATATTTTAATGACACCTGTCAATCTACTATAAATGCATCCAGCCAACTGTTACCAGCTGCATCACATAAATATATGACTTTCTTTACTGAATAATCACGGACAATGTATGGGCCTAGTTGTAAATAAGGGTACAAAGATAACTAAAGGTGTCACCCAGGTTTTAGGTTCCTTATGCAATAAACCTTTTCATTATTTTGCAAACTCTTTAACAGTAGCCCTCACCAGCTGGGGGGTCTAATATGACAGAGGTCACTGCAGTGCCCAAAACGTGTATTCCTAGAGACCATAAAGTCCAAGCAGAACTCTCATAATGCAAAAAATAGTGTCCAGGCCAACAATCACCTACTGTAGGTGGTTGTTGTAACTATGGCAGTTCTGCTATTTTAGGCCAGAGTTGAGCACTAGACTGAGAAGGAATTAAGAATAAAATTTGGATGATAATACAGCACTTGTATACACGTTTTCTTCTTTAAAAAACATTGACCTAAAACCTATGAAATAATTGTTGGCATGTCCATGAAGATCAATCAAGCATCTGTGTGGTCGCTGAGCTCTTAAGCCCTGTACTCACGATGAGAATATTGGACGAATGATTGTTCATTTTTTGGGGAGTTTTTTTGCATGCTAGTCTCTCAATATCGAAAATGAAGAAGTTACTAAAGTTATGAAAATTCTTGTTCAACAGAATAAAAATTCGGAAGTGATGTAATGTATTGTACTGTATTTTTCATATGATTTTCTGATTGTGTGTACTAGGCTGTACTGTGCTGTTGTCTAATGCAAAGCAATTAAGAAGACCCTTTCATCCTCAAACTGCTTGCTTTAATTTGTCAAAGTAAGAATGGTTTGTGGGCATTTGGCCCTTTTTTGGCAGCCCTCTGTAACCTTTGGATTATTATTACCTGTGTCTTTGGCAGCTGCATTCATTCTTTGACATTCCTAACAGATGGGAGCCTTGATCAATAGCAATCCCAACTGCGAAACCTTTGGGATAGTAACAAAATAATTTATAGTTTTTTTTATTACAACACTTTTCTAAGTTAGAAATATCTGCAAGTACTAATATCGTAACTATTTCAGTCCTGTGTGATCATTTACTTAACAACTTTTGTATACAATGTCTGGTCATAATATAGACTGATATAACCATATACATGATTTATACATACATATAGAAAACATCACCAACATTACATAAGAATTGTATTGTAAACATATTACTTAAGATTGTATCTGATGCAACACATTCGTATACCAGTGAACCCAATGTAATACAGGGGATGTAAGAACGGCAAGGAAAGCATGCTGAGACCTCAAGCCATTAATACACCTGTGTAGAGCCTTGCAAGTATTTCATATATTTCCAAGAGAAGAGGAACCCTATTCTAAAAAAATAAATCCTACATTTAAAGACATGAACCATTGATGGAGTTCAGTGATGTGTTCATATACACTTGCTGAACAAGAATCATAGGTGTGTTGTAGTGGCAGGTCATGATACATTGTAAAATGTAAAACTGCAATACACTCTACAAGTACTGTACTTGTAGATTGCTTTTTTGGTGGCTGTGATGCAAGATCCTCATACATTTTGTGCAAGAATGAGGCGATAATAGGATGGAGAGTTGTATAAATGGTGTAATGAAGGGTTGCCAATAGAAACAATCAGATAACTGATGTTACTTTCCAAGCTGCTTTATTTTATATGACAGCCAGAATCTAATAACTACATAAAGACACATTACCAGGTAGTTAATTTCTGCCTATTAAAACACAGCATATGCCCAAAAGCATAACTACAGCTGTAGTGACCTATGTGGCTACTATGGGTCCCAGCAAGACTGGGCATTCAGTGCACAAGGGACATGTGTCTAAGGCCCTCTCTGATGGTATAGTGATTTATCCATGCAGCATCTGTGAAATGTACAGTAGAAAAAAAATAAATGCATATGCAGCTGAGAAACTTTTGTCATGAGCTTTGGAAAACAATATTTACTACCAATATTTTTGGGATGACACAGGCCTCTGTTGTGGGATTGCCATTTTATGATATGTAACAAAGTAAAATACTTGTCTCTGAAGACCCAAATGGAAAATGTGTTTCCTAGACACATAAAACACATACTTGGTCCATGTAATTGACCTCACTTAAAGCTGAATAGGTACATTTTACTACCCTGAAACTAATATGAACCTTGTGAGTGGCTCGTATCATGTTATTAAAATAAAATGAGAGATATCATGCTTTCCTAACAGATTCCTTATAAGATGTAGATTTAGTGAGCACAAGAGGGCCCTCTACAGATTTTGCCATTGAGGTGCAATCATCTATCATTACATCATAATACCTTCATTACAGAAAAGACAAGGCCCACACCTGATTCAGTTCACAAAAGGCCTCCCCAGTTTGATCCATTTAGTGAGCTCTTGCATACGTATCTCACCCAGACTGCTTATAGAGAGCCCTAAGCATGTGACAGTCAAAATCCTTTCCATTTCACTGAGCTTCATGATTGTCAAGTAAAGTGATAGAAAGTGAAGATGGTTCTCTGCAGAATTTGTGGAGTTGTGAAATGGTTACATGTTTGTCTAAGGTTCGGAAAAATACAATTTTTCATTTTCATCCTTTCATGACATGTTTCTCTTTCACTTGTTTCCTTCAGTCTATCTCAAGTCAGGCTTAAGTCAAGTCTTTAGTTGTTGGAGCACATAGTGGACAAAAAGTGAACACCATAAAGTCTCCCAAGCAGTTCTGGAGCTCAAAGTCCTCATATAAACATTGCTCCTCATAGAGCAGGCATCACACTGCAGATTTGCAGACTGTGTTGGCTGTGGATAAAAAGGCATAAAGGTAAGTTTCCTCTCATGGTTTATCCAAGCACAATAGCCTTCTATCCACTGGTCTCGGACAACAGCTGCAACCTGGAAAGTCCAGGATGATTTAAATAATTCAACCCTGTACACATGGCCAAAGTTCAAAGTTCATCCTCATCCAGCTTGGCCAGCCGGGGGACAGGTACACCCATTTCATCAGACGTAGAGGAGTAGCCAGGGAGTTCTCGGCCCAATGTGTTCAGTTTCTGGAGGATAGAGACAAAGAATAAGACTTACTTCAGCAACAACATTAATCAGATAAGGCTCATTCACATCCAACCAGATCCCTTTCCTTACTGTTTTCCCAACAGCTGAGCAGTGTGAAGGCAACCCATAGAAATTGAATTGGTGTGCAATGGCTGTGTGGACTCACCTGCACAAGGGGTAGACAGTTACGCAGGGATGCGGTTGTGTGGGTGAACCCACACAAGCAATGCATGCCAATGCACTTTCTATGGACTCTCTACCCATTGCATAGGCCTTAGCGCCCATATGAATGACCCCATACATTAAGAACATACATGGACAAAATGAAAATACTTTTTGTGACTATTTCAAATGTAATTATTATAAGTATTTATATAGTGCTGACAATTTATTTAGTGCTGCACATACTGCATATTCACATCAGTTCCCTTCCCTAAGGAAGTACTAGGGCCTGTTTGGACACCCAGTTGGATAGCCAATTAACATGCCAGCAAGCCTTTGGAGAGTGTAAGCATAGGGAGAGCAAACTCCATTCAGATAGTGTCCTGACCAGGAATCAAACAAGGGACCCCACCACTGCTGCGAGGCAGAAATGCTAACCACTGAGCCTACCTTACTGACTTTTTAGGGAACATGTTGCATGTTTTAGTTGATGAGTAACTATTACTATGGTCTATCTCTACTTTACACCAAAAAAGGTATATTTTCAATACATAGGTCATAAATAATAAATATAATATAATATAATATATGCAATCCTTGTTTCAAGGTATTTACAATTATGGTGGGAAAAGGGGGGGGGATTTGGCCTGATTGTCATTTAGTCTGATGAATACATTGCTACAAAAGGAAAAAGGCTCACACCATGTATAATTACTGTTTCTTCTATATGATCAGATATGAACAGTTATGTTCTTTAAGTCATCACTTATTTATACGTACTGTATATGGGATACTGTGTACAATTTATACTTTTGTATGGTGTGTCATTAAAAAATTCAATAAATAAAAGCATGGACTGAGCATGCTTAGATCCAGCATCCTGTTGCTCTTTTGAAAAAGTATTTTTAGTAATTCTGGAAATCCCCTGAATAGTGCAGAACTGCGCTTACAGATTTCATCTGCAGCACCACCTGCTGGTAACATCTGATATTGCATGTACCAGAGTTTTCTATGATGTACTGCTCTTCAGTTTTAGGGTAGCCTGCAACCATTATCCATGGAATGGCAGCACTGCTGCACAAAAGAACGGTACACGATGGCAGAAAAGAGAACCCACAGTTGTTTACAGGGAAACTGGAGAGCTGGGGTTCCTATTTGTAAACATGGTTCATGATATTTCTTTAAAAGGTAAATATTTGTGCCCAAGCTGTTTTTTTTTTTTGCCTGATCCAGTATTCATTGTAGAAACTTCTCAAGATCTAGATCAAGATCATCATTACATCATGAAACACTTTGGAGCTGTTTAAAAAAACAGGGTGTAACCCAAAGCAATCAATCTACTTACAACTAAGATTTTAATGTGCAGTTAGGAAAATAAAATGTAACTTTAGGCAAAATCAGAAATTACATAGGATGCAGTCTGCACTAGCATAAAAGCGGAACTCCACTCTCCCAATCAACAAGGACTAATTTTAATCCTGAAGCTGCTAGTTATAGTAAGTAGATAGGAAAAGTATATTATATTTACTTGTTTTTTTAAACATTTTTTTTACATTTCTTCCATTACTTCCTGGTTTCCATGCCTAGGCAAATGATATCATACATCCCAGCAGTCTTCAGGAGGAAAGGGAGGGTTCTCAGCTCAGCCACTGCCTGAGCTAAGGGCAGATGGATTCCAGGAAGTAAATGATACATGAATCATCTCCCCTTACTCAAGATGGACACTGCCAGAAATGCCAGGGGGTGTTTTTCAAAATGATTTCTCAGCAAAATAAAGAAGGGAGACATGAATGGAGGAGTTTGTTCGAAATATTAAAATTTAATTAAATTGTATTTTTTGGTTTGTGGTGCTCACATGCAGTGCAGTTCCACTTTGACACCAGTATTTTTTTGTTTTTTTTTCAAGTTCCCCTGTAACATAAGTAAAATACAAAAAAAAAAAAAAATGAAAGAACAATGCCAGGTAACAATTTTTGTTTTAACTCTCAAACCTGTATACCCTTTATGGACTAGAGCAATTTTTACATTTTAGCTATGTGCCCTATTGATTTGGCATAACCTAGTCATTACCTAACAAAACGTGATACAGATATTGTTATTTTCTATACAATCTATAGAAAGAAGTGGTTTGAACAGTGTTAGTTTTAAAAGTGTTTTTAAAAGCGAGTCACTAAAAATATAAGTGTCAGGCCTTATCATTATATTTTTTTTATTTCACCTACAACTAAACTTTAAGGTAAAGTTTTCTAGATTGCTATTGAACTGAATTGTATGATATGACAAGATATGGCTTGTAGATCCTCAATGTAACCTTCAATCTACCTGTCCTGCACTCCTTTTATTTTCTGACAATAACAACAATAATGTATTCTTACACGACTGGTAGGGTCGCTTTGTGGGGTTCCATTGGACACAGTAGAGGTGGAGGACTCTGGATAATGATTTAAATTAAGATTGATGTGTGCTGGGGTCAGAGTTGCTGGGGGTAGAACATCTGAGTGAGAACTCTTTCGAGGAGGGTGAACCTGTAAAATTATAAACATAAAAACAAGGTTAGGAGCACTAAACTATCAACACTGATGGTAAATCATAAAAATACGTTTTTGTGATCAGGCCACAAGAAAACAGTGTCTATTTAGACCCTGGCAGTTTGCTATTGTTTTACGAATAGCAAAATATGTCGTTAACATTAGAGCCTAATATTTGATAAAACGAGAATCCCAAAAAAGGGATTCTAGGACACCCGATTTTATATCTGAAACCACAATTATTACATTATTTTGCTCTAGATAAATATCTATTTGAGCCCCTGTTGATACAGCGAAGTCTCTCCCTCCTCATTGGCTGAGACAGCTGCGTTAGCCACTGGCTCTCACTACTGTCAATCACAGCCACTGAGCCAATGAGAAGAGAGCAGGGCCAGGGCTGAGCAGCGTCTGTGTGTGAATGGACACACAGGGCAGTGGCATGGGAGCAAGCCAGGTGCCCCCATAGCAAGCCGCCTGAGGAACAGGAGCGCTTGTGGGGGACCCAAGAAGAGGAGGATTGGGACTGCTTTGTGCACAACCACTGCACAGATCTGGTAAGTATAGCATGTTTGTTATTGAAAAAAATCTGCCTTTACAATCACTTTAAATATTCACTCACCGGGCACTTTATAAGGTACACCTGTTCAATTGCTGGGTAATAGATTGCTAATCAGCCAATCACATAGCAGCAACTCAATGCATTTAAGCATCTAGACATAGTGAAGACGACTTGCTGAAGTTCAAACCAAGCATCAGAATGGGGAAGAAAGGGGATTTAAGTGACTTTGAATGTGGCATGGTTGTTGGTGCCATACGTGCTGGTCTGAGTATTTATGATCTTCTGGGATTTTCAAGCACAACCATCTCTTGGAGTTTACAGAGAATGGTCCGAAAAAGAGAAAGTATCCAGTGAGTGGCAGTTGTGTGGACAAAAATGCCTTGTTACATAGTTACTTAGTTAGTCTGACAGAAAAAAGACAAGTCCATCCAGTTCAACCAGTAAAAAAAAAAAAAAAGTTATAATCCTACACCCACAGTTGATCCAGAGGAAGGCAACCCCCCCCCAGCAAACCATGACCCAATTTGCTCCTGCAGGAGGAAAAAAATCCTTCCTGATCCCCCAACAGGCAATCGGATATTCCCTAGATCAACTTTACCTATAAATGTTAGTATCCAGTTATATTCTGTGTACCCAAGAAATAATCCAGGCCTTTTTTTTAAAGCAATCCACTGAGCTGGGCAGAAACAACTCTTGAGGGAGTCTATTCCACATTTTCACAGCTCTCACTGTGAAGAAACCTTTCTGTGTTTGGAGATTAAATTTCTTTTCCTCCAGATGTAAAGAGTGCCCCCTTGTCCTCTGTGTTGTCCGCAAGGTGAATTGGTGCCCAAAACTGAACTGCATATTCCAGATGAGGTATTACTAATGATTTGTACAGGGGTAAAATATCTCTCCCTCTGGAGTCTATACCTCCTTTATTACAAGAGAGGGTTTTGCTCGCTTTGTTGATGTCAGAGGTCAGAGGAGAATGGGCAGACTGGCTTGAGATGATAGAAAGGCAATAGTAACTCATGTTGATATGGACCAAAATCTCAGAGGAATATTTCCAACACCTTGTTGAATCTATGCTACCAAGAATTAAAGAAGTTCTGAAGGCAAAAGGGGGTCCAACCCGGTACTAGCAAGGTGTACCTAAGAAAGTGGCCGATGAGTGTAAATATCGGCTGTATGTCAAGTCATTACTCAGATGGCTCTGAGGAAGAAGCAAGTCCTCGAAACGCGTCAGCCATTTGGAGGTCTAGGAGTCCCATTATGGATATCATCCAGTGTGACTGGACCTTGCTGTACTTTATATGATGTGCCTTTGACATTTGTTCCTTTGTGAGTATATTACCACTTTTTTTTGTACAATAAATTATCTTTTAAAAGGTAATGCACTAGGCACGTGTACCCTATGTTTCTTTACATACATTTCTTTTGCCCTGTTCCTCTAGTGAGAAGCAGCTTTTATTATTCCCTGAGACAAAATCACCTGGACTGTAAATTTTTCTTGAAGTGGCAGCTGCTGAAAAATCAGTTCATATTCACAAAGGCACCCCCCCCCCTCCAAGAACTGCAAGTACCAAGTGCCTTTTCCTTACAGACAGTATGGGGGGAGCACAGTGAAGAGCCAGCTGTAGTTCATCAGAAAGCCACAGCCAGCTCCCATATCCAAGATGGTAGCACCCGAGACCCACAGTGCTAAGAAGAAGAAGGCACCAGCTTCAGTATTTGAAAAAAAAATGAAGTTCCTCTTGAAGCAAAGTAAGTTATAGGGAGATATCAAATGAATCATGAAAAACAAAGGCTTTCAGTACTTATTTGGTAAAAAAACAAAACAAAGGATCAATGTGATATTTATTTTCCAATATTTTGATATGAGAACTAGTTAACATAACTCAATGAACTAATGCCTCGTATACAGTATAAGAAAATCGTACGAAAATTTTCGTACAAGGACCTGATTGTCCGATAATCGGATCGTTAGTACACAACTTTTGAGAGCCAATCACGACAATTCGTATGACAATATCCGAAGGGACAAGCGCAAACATTTTTCTCGTACAATACCAGATCGTACGATTTTTGTTTAATCAGTACAGTAGTCGTCTGAAAACACAATGCAAATACAATACAATACATGATATCACTTTCGAAATTCTTTTCTTTCATAGGAGAATTTTCGTATCTTTAGTAAACTCTTCACTTTCGATGTGAGACTAGCAGACGAAAAAAAAAAACGGCTGAACGGCTGATCATTCGTCCGATATTCTCATCGTGTGTACGCGGCATAACATAAATAATGGTAGAAAACTTACCTTGTTTCGACTCTCTCTAGAGTTGCTGGGTAAATAAAGGGATGGCAGAGAAGTATTGTAGGATTTGAGGTTGGGCACTTTGTTTCTATCCATAGAGGCAGAGGAATGGGGCCTGAGGCCGCCACGGGTAGATTCTATCGTATGGCTGTTGGTAGATCTTCCAAGACTGTTGGACTTGCTTTCTCTTCGTTGATACTCAATAGGTGATTGAAGTGCTGGGAAAAGACACAGATGTGATCTTACCCACCATTATTACAGTATATCATGTTCCTTTTCTACCTAACCTGTCACATTTTTCTGTTCTCTCTAGCAGTTTTTATTTGTGAGACTTCGAAGCCAAAGTTTTTCTGTTTTCTATTCATCCTCCTGTCACATACAACAAAAATAACTGTATGCAATTCTGTCATATTCAAGACAGTGAATAGCAGCTTTTCTTGAATCAATTCCTACATAATGCACACAGAGATGTACAGCCAAGTGCTTGCACAATGCACAGAATAAGCTGCTATGTAGCAGTCTGATCATCAGTGTATCTTAGATTGTAAGCTCTAACAAGCATGACCCCGATTCCTCCTGTAATAAATTGTATTGCAATTGTACTGTCTGCCCTCATGTTGTAAAGCACTGCGTAAGCTATTGGACTATATCAATCCTGTATAATAATATTTATATACTATAGTTAGTGTGCATTTGCAGCTATTTTGTTTAGCATGGCTCATCTGAATTAGAAAGCATCTACAGAACAGAGCATCCTGATGCAAAAGAGGTCAGTATGCAAACAAGGGCTTCCATTTACCAAATAGAGGGTTAGTGTCAGGGTTACAGGGAGGGCTAAGGTTCAGGTTACAAGGCAAGCTAGTGTTAGGATTACAGGAAGGGTTAGTGTTTTGTTGAGGAAAAAAACTTTCCCCTTTGAGCAATCTATGTACATTGCAAGAATTTTAACAAACTTTGTTGCAGATTCCCAACTTTTGTTATTCTGAAGAAAAGGTTGTTTGTTTGTTCGCCTGTATCCATGTGGAAAGTGAATGTATTTGGGAGCGACTTTATAATTATTGATCAGCTGCTGCATTTGCAGGGTTCTAGTGAGGAAAACTGCAGGGTCTGCATCCCTGTAGAAGTGATCTCCCTTTAAGAATATCTCACCAAAAAAGGAAATTTTGTATTGCAGAAGATGCACAAAATCTTGCTTGTATGTGAGAAAATGAGTGAGCAAATCACACAAGCAGGGAATAACATTTGGGGGTGGGGGGGTTGTACACCATATGTATACAGAATGCCTCCAGGTTGCCAAATTGTATGGCATTTTACAGAAAAATTGGAGTGAAATAGAAAGGTAATCTAGTAAGCTTGTGTAGTAATCGTATATATTATATATTTTTTTATTTGCTATTTTTTTCTACGAATGTCTACTATTTATGGTTAAAGGGAGAGTTAGTGTTAAGGTTGTAGAGAGAATTAATGTTGTTTCTTTGCATATGGCAGACACTTTAAAGTGGTTCTAAAGCCTTACGTTTTTTTACCTTAATGCATTCTACACATTCAGTTAAAAAACCCTCTGTGCTGTAGGATCCCCCCACTACGACCACATTATTCTTACCTGAGCTCGCTCTTGCTGCTGACTCCCTCCTCATTGGGAAAATTGATAGCAGCGGGATCCATTGGCTCCTGCTGCTGTCAATCAAATGCTGTGACAAGGGAGTGGGGGGCAGGGCCAAGCCTTCTGGTCTGTGTCAATAGAAACAGACTGGGTGTCTCAAGAGAAAGCCTGAATGGGTGCCCCCCATTGAAAGCAGCTTTTCAAGGGGAAACTTGCCAAAAAAGAGGGAGCTGGAATGCCAACTGGGGACTCCAGAAAAGGAGGACTGGAGCTGCAGGTAAGTATACCATATTTGTTTTTTTAACCACTTCAATACCGAGCACTTGTACCCCCCTTCCTGTCTAGACCAATTTTCAGCTTTCAGTGCTGTTGCACTTTGAATGACAATTGCGCGGTCATGCAACACTGCACCCATATGAGATTTTTGTCATTTTTTCACACAAATAGAGCTTTCTTTTGGTGGTATTTAATCACCACTGAGTTTTTTTATTTTTTGCTAAATAAAACAAAGAACACTTGAAACTTTTGATAAAAAAACACACTTTTCTTCATTTCTGTTATAAAATTTTGCAAATGAATAACATTTTTTCATAAATTTAGTGCAAAATGTATTCTGCTACATTTCTTTGGTGAAAAAATAATAATAATAATTGAATTTGTATTTTTCTTTCAAATGTTTCTATCATTTTTTTTTTATTACATTTTTTCTTTTTTTTACTATTTTATTTTTCAGCACACTGTGACCAAAGCAATAAAATGTTACCATAGTAAAATTGAACTAATCTGGGCAAGGGGTCAGGATTTTTTTTTTTTGTTAAGACATTTCATTGATATTTGCAATCATTGTTACTGAATAAAACTGATTAATTCAGTCTTTTGTTGTGATTAGCTGTGATTGGGCAAAGCTGATCACAGGATACAGATGGGATGTGATTGGCCCTGTCTGTATCATGTGACTGCCTTGACCAGTCACAGCTAACAACATAATTGTATACAATGAATGGCATGACATGAAGCCATCCATTGTATACAATCGACATGTGATCTGCTGTGATTGGTCACAGCGGTCACATGACACTGGCAATGGGCCAGTGTAGTGATATGTCATCGGCTGTGTCCCGTGAGCCGCTCATTTTGACAGGACGTCATATGACGCCCAGTCACAACGGTGAGTGTCCCGCCCAGCCGTCAATCTGCTACAGGCCAGGCGGGGAGGTGTTAATAAGAGAAAAACTAAAAAGAAGGTATAATGTTAACACAGGGCAATGTATTAGAACATACAGCAGTTTTTTCCGGTTCAACAATTATATGGAAAACAATACCATTTGTCATTTTATTTCAGTGTCTCTGCTTGATTAATATGGCAATCAAATCAGAAATAGGCTGTACAGCAATTACATAATTATCACACATCTCTCATCTCATAATTTTATCACTAGATCTTTGATGTCATCTTTGGTAACAGTTTTGATTTAAATTTAGTGACCCCCTAAAGCTGTGCTTTCAATGTCAATGGTTTAGGTTGATCCTCCTATGAAGAATCCACGAGAGGGTATAAGACAGAGCATTGTTGTGTCCAGAGAGGCAGAATTTCTCCACCGCCCGCGCCCACACAGGGATCTTGAAAAACCTGTAGATGGATCAAACATTTCCCACTGCTCTACATAGCTTGCCTTTAAGGATTTAGCTGGAAAATCTTATAAATAATAAAGTAATTTAGATATGATACTGCCCAAACATCAAACTGCACATGAATCTTAATTTACATATTAGATTTAAGGAAGAAGACTGAGAGTAATTTGCATTTTCTGATTAAGTACAACCAGCCTCTCAAGAAGAGATAAGGATGAGTGTTCTGGTAACAAAAGTGCCTAAATCAGGATTTGATATTGTTACTGGAATTCTTATTTTTTTAACCCTCATGTTGTTGATACTGTAGACTTCAGTACTGCTATTTCTCAGCACTGATGAGCCATTCATGCCTAATGTAGTTTAAGTCTATAACATGATTGCCACTCACCATTGAGGAAGTTACGCTGGCTATCCAATATTTGTCCAATGTCATGGACCCAGGCCAGTCTGATCTCAGCAGTCGAGGCCTGCAGAATGTAACGCACTAGACTGCGATCTGTACCACGGGATGTCAGTGCAAACTTACAAGGGTCATTATCCACAGATTCCTCAATGCCCAGACAGCTGATCTACAAAAGAGAATGACAGATCACGTTAAACATCAATTTCAGTAGCCTGTTATGGCGACTCACACTACACATGGCAGGCACAGACTACAGAGGATCCCTGTGCAAAGAAGACATTCAGAACTCCTTTATATGCTTACTGTTGTCTCATTACTATGGATATACCACCTCCAGCATCACTGCCAACCCCTCAGTGATGTTACCAGTATCTATGGTTCCATAATAAAGTTAAATCCATTAAAAGGCATGTGTATGTAATGTCATTTTAACTTATTTTCAGTATTATCTTAAATAACATTTCGTAAAGTAGAAGTGAAAAACTGCACATAAATTTATATTTACCGCTTTCAGCCAGCAGGTACCAAGCTCCTCAGATAAAAGTCGTGTAAAGCATCTGTATTATTCTGTAATACACAGCCTGCCACAAGTATGCAGGCAGCAGTGGGCTATCCTTTGCACTTTGAGTGCCAAGAATGTACCCAATGTACAAAGTTTAAATATTTATTAAGTTTTCTTTCTCTGTTTTCTATAAAGTTTTTATTTAAAAAAAAAAAAAAACAACAAAAAAACATATGGGTTCAGGGACTGTAAAATTAGAAGCAATATATAACAATTGTGGTCATTAACCATTAAACTGCCCATTTAAACAGTTCAGCATTTGCACTGGGTTGTGATCACTACACAAAGGGGCCTTGATGATCACCAGTGGAAGGGAGGTCCTCTTCCACCTTTGTCAATTGCATCACCCTGTCTTTCGCTCTCCACTAATGGGCCTTCTTGCCCCTCTTGGTTCCTGTGCAGCAGCACATGGACCCAGAACAGGCAGTCACTCTCCCTTTGCAAGCAACCTTACTATACAAAAATGCATTTTGTTGTGGCTTCCATCTAAGTAGTATGCCAATGTTGTGCAACATCTGCATAATGCATTTGTTCACCTTTCCTGGCCCATGTAAGCCTGGATGTGTTACAAATTGCTGGAAGAGCTTCTTGTTTAGCCAAGATATAGGTAATTACAGGCACAATAACATAGCCATTGTTTCAATGGACAGGTTCATTTGTTCTCTCCTACTTAATATTCTGCTACAGTGCAGGTCATGTGTCCAAAACATTATTTAAGATGCATGTGAGGATAATAAACACTGATTTAACATTTTAAAATGCTTACTCTATTGAAAACTGAAATAGACCTGGCAACTATTAAATAGCATAACACTCGGCATTAAAACTGGATCTTTCACTTTGTACAGCTAATGCTGAAAAAAAAAAAAGGACAGTAAAGGTTCAGATTCTAAGAGGTGATAAGGATTAACAAGGATACAGTACCATCCACATCCAATGGCAAATTATTTATCTTTGCAATATTTTTTTTTGATTATGCAGATCTTTGCTAGTTGAACGTTGTCTGTGGACATTTTGCACTGATCTTAGTGCTGCAGAAGATGGGGCTAAGGAAAATATATCAACAATTTTTCTTTTTACAGGTAACATTTGGACTTTCAATCAGCAGGGAACTTAGACAAAGGTAAGGGGCTGGACAGTATATAGAGAGCTTGAATTGCAATTGTTGCAAGGGAAGGGTGGTGTTTTGTCACGTTCTCCTTGTTTTCCAATTTACTCTTTGAGCGCCAAGTCTGGGAAACATGAGAGGCCTACCCCGGGGTGGGTTATTCTGGCCTATTCTAGGCACCTTGTATAGGATTTCTCTCTCTACTTCATGCACATGGGGTACCTTTGCTTTAGTGCCATTTTCTCCAATGTTCTGGGACAAGGCTGAGGTTGCTATGATGGAATACTCAACCTTAAGTCGAGCCTCTACCCTTACAGATGAATGTTCACCGCGTGCACTTGCACAACGACTGTTCCCCATTTAATTCTTGGATCCCCTTGTAAATGTACATCTTCCTACTGTAGCTTGCAATTAGGCACGTTGTGCCGACCACAGCCACCCATCCAATGCTTCTCACTATGGTAGCAGCATGGACCTTCACCGAGCACAGTGCAGAATCCAACGTGGTCATGACTTTAACTCTTATACTTCCGTACCTCGGTAAAGGTTGGGCACCACTGCAAAGCAGTTTCACTTTGGTTGCTCGGGGAGATGGAATGTGGCATAGAGAGTGCCAACAATATCTCCCTTACGGCAAGAGGCAATTCCACCTATGGCAGGCACACGTTTGCAACAGGCTGTTTGCTGACTGTAACTTCTGTTGTTTGTGGCAACTACATGTATACCTTGCATTAAGGTGACTCTTAGGGGTTGATTTACTAAAGGCAAATAGACTGTGCACTTCGCAAAGTGCAGTTGCACTCTGGAAGAGCAGTTGTTCCGGAGCTTAGTAAATGAGCAGAAGCTCTGCTGACTTCAATCATCCAATTATGTGCAAGCAAAAGTGTTTTTTTTTTTCAATTTTTTTTTCTATTTTAGTACATGTTTCTTTGCATGTGATTGAGTATTCCTTGCAAAGTGAATCTTTATCTCATTTACAAAGCTCTGGAGCAATTGCACTTGCGGTATGGTGCACAGCCTATTTGCCTTTAGTAAATCAACCCCTTTGTTAACTCTTCATAACCTATGTGAAGTGACCCAAGCTATAGACTAAGTGCGTGATAGTGCCAGTTACTTGCAGTGCACGCATTTTTTTAGTAACTTCAGACCAGGCAAGAAGGCAAAGTTTCAACGCTTTACTGAATAAAGGGCAAACATAAATAGAACAATCGCATAGACACAGTCTCTACCTAATTTCCTAATTGCTACTCCTAACCAGGCTATGTGCTGCTCCGATGTACCTGCAAAGGTAGAGCCCATGTCATTACAGAGTCACATCTGAGAGTCACATCTGGGTGACAAATAGTTGCATTTTTGTACCTCTCCCGAGTACAGCTTTCTTTGGGGAACCAGGGAGATGGGAAGAATTGTGGAAAAGAAGCAGGGCTAGACAATGACAACAGCAGCAACGGCTACACCTAATCTCTCGGGCTCGAACCACTGTCCTCTTTTTTATATGCACAGGTGCAGAGGGTCCTACCCAAAGACCCTGCCAAAAGTCAAAGAACCAGAAGAGGCATTACCCATACCCTCCCAAACATGGCAGCATCTATCTAGCTACTTTCAACCTACTTACACACTACAAGATCAGTTTTAATCCACATTTTAGGGGAAACCTGTGCTCAAAGAAATCAGTGGGCTGCCAGTGCCATCTCGTTTCAGTAAATGTTAGTTGCTTGGTTGTGTTTATCATCAGTACTTTCTGAGTCACATATCCAAAACAAGTATGCATCCAGTAAAATTAGAACTTCTGATTTGTATTCTTGTTCAGAGTCCAAAAGTATTATAGTCAGAGGACAACCAAGTAACTAGCATTTACAGAAGGTAATCGTTACAATATTTTTACTTGTACTTTGGTTAGTAGTAGTTTCCTTAAAATAGGTGCAGCATTACCTCTATGCACTACAGGGATGGATTTAAGGCACACATAGCCTTTCCAATGTTCCTTAGCTATATGAGTGAAGGAGATCAACTTGTCGTGTGCATTAATAAATTATACGGTCTTAAAAAAATAATTTGTATGCATAGTTTGGAACTATCTACGGACATTGGCGCAGCCATTTTGCTTCTTTCTTTCTAGCTCACAACTGATTCTCTGCAGTAATGACAGTACCCACAGATCGTGTGATCTAGTGTGCCTAGTCTTCGATCCCAGCAAGAAAAAGAACTTAACAATGTGATTAACATGTGTCCTGTTTATTCAAGCGAAATGTGAATTTTAATGGTAGCCGCATTTTAACACACATGCTGTGAGCTGAAGGAAGTCTACCTCGACAAATCAAACAGTACACCAATATTATTAAGTCTTTATTTATCTGGATACACTGCTGGAAAGAAAACATTGTGTTCTGTTATACTTGTGGTCTATCACCTGTCATAGATAACATCAGGATGAGGGAAACAGACAATCTACTAACTGTAATGCAAAGTGCTGTTTAATCCAGCAGTATCCCATTTCACCCCCCCCCCCCAGATATTATTAATGAACTACAATTCTCTGTATGCAGGCACTGCTGCAGCTCACATTACCCAAAAAGGGTACATAACATGAGACCGAAGTATGTCATTTTACTGGTAATTATTATCCTAATACACAGGACACAATACACTGTAGATCTCCTTGTTTAGTATCAATAAAATCTGCACTATCTTTCCTTCAGCACCACTGGAGAGCACTGAAGCATATTGTTGGCACAGTAGGACACACAGCAGTAATCGGATCCTAGAAGCAGTAGGCGGATAATGCATTGTTTGATCAACACTGGATGATAATCATTTGGCGGGATTGCCTAGGCACTAATTACAGAATTGGTTCAATAATACAGACATATCCACACCTGCATCCACAACTTGTAGAAAAAAAGAAAAGGATAAAGCAAGACACAGTATGAAATGTTTGGTTATTTGCAATAAAATGGTGCAAACACTGGAAGATCATACTTTCTGCTGACACAATCATATTTTAATTTGTGCTATCTTACAATAGGGTCAGCAGCACTGAGTCACAGGCAATGGCATTGACACCTTTACTGTGATGACATCACTGAACATGCCTCAGACAACAACAACCATACATAAAGACCTCCAGACTATTCTCTGTGATTAGCAACAACAGTCTCTACCAGGCCCCATTCAGACTTGTACTCTGTGCAGTTCCGACACAAGTTCAGCTTTTTCTAAAGAATCATCAATCATCACGAGATGTTAATCAACAGACCCCATCAAGCACATTCTTTAAAAGAGTATGGAAAAAATATTCTCCTCCTCCACTCTGAGAACTCTTAGGCACCAGCTGTCTGCTCTGCCCCTCCAGCACTCATTGGAGCGCTGGGCTGTGGAGGGGGCAGGAGGGTCTGTCTTAAGCTCTTGGTAGATCGCAGAGAGGCTGATCCAAGTACCGGCCCAGGCTTCTGGGTGGATGCTGACCATATAATCAGGATCTTTTCAAAGCTTGGACCGCCTCTGTGACAGCAGCCAACTGTGGGCTTTAGCCTGCTGTCAGCTGAAAACGGGTATCAGGAGTGCAGAACAGACTGCGCTCCTGTGATCTACAGGATAAATATAGCCTAAAAAGCTTTTAAAATGGTCAATCCAAAATTTTAATCCCACTAGACACTGGAGAGTGAAACCACCCAATAGCTTCTCATATCACTAGGGAACTCCAGTGGGAGAGGCACTTGTGCTTGAATTCCTGAGTTTGTACATCTGCTGTGGCCATTATAAGAGGGTTGATATTCCACAATTTGGAATATCATTTCAAGCATACCATATTTTTCGCTCCATAAGACGCACCTGACCATAAGACGCGCCTAGGTTTTAGAGGAGAAAAACAAGAAAAAAAATATTCTAAACCAATGGACTGCAGACATAGTACAGGGAATGACCAGAGACTGCGGAAACAGTACATGAGATGACCAGAGACTGCGGACATACTACAGGAGATGACCAGAGACTGCGGACATACTACAGGAGATGACCAAAGGCTATGGACACAGTATAGGAGAAGGACCAGAGACTGCGGACACAGTACAGGAAATGGACCAGAGACTGCGGACATACTACAGGAGATGACCAGAGACAGCGGACATAGTACAGGAGATGACCAGAGACTGCAGACATAGTACAGGAGATGACCAGAGACTGCGGACACAGTGCAGGGGATGACCAGAGACTGCAGACACAGTACAGGAGATGACCAGAGACTGGAGACACAGTGCAGGGGATGACCAGAGACTGCAGACAGTACAGGGGATGACCAGAGACTGCGGACAGTACAGGGGATGACCAGAGACTGTGGACAGTACAAGAGATGACCAGAGACTGCGGACAGTATAGGGGATGACCAGAGACTGCAGACAGTATAGGGGATGACCAGAGACTGCAGACAGTATAGGGGATGACCAGAGACTGCGGACAGTATAGGGAATGACCAGAGACTGTGGACAGTATAGGGGAGGACCAGAGACTGCGGACAGTATAGGGGATGAACAGAGACTGCGGACAGTATAGGGCATGACCAGACACTGCGGACCTTTAGGGAGGGAGGGGGAGCGGGTACCTGAATTTGACAGGTACCCACTCCCACGTCCGCGGAGTTCTCCTTCCTATACTGTGGGCACCCGACTTTGACAGCCGCAAGAAGCTCTGCACTTTGTGAATGGCCCGGCGTCTTTTGGGACCTGTCATGTGTCCCAGAAGACACCGGACCATTCACAAAGACTACAGTGCTGGACTGAGGAACAGGTGAATACCGGCCCGGTATTCTGACATGGTGGCAGCGGAAATACCGGACCGGCCGCTTTATATTCGCACCATAAGACGCACTGACATTTTCCCCCCTTTTTTGGGGGAACAAAGTGCGTCTTATGGAGCGAAAAATACGGTGTATACCAGCAGCTCGCTATTGACATATTTGTGGGTTTTTTTTATTAAAAATCTTTCTGAGAATTAGTAAGAGACCCTGGTCCTTGAGGACACATTTTATCTTCTAGTTGTGGCATAATAAGGGGGTCCCACACTATTGGCTGGATTTTGTATATATTTTATTATGTGGAGAGTGCAACAGAAGATGCTGCTAATGAAAGGATGATTGAGACATCCAACATTCCCAGATGAACGAGAGCAGAGTTGGGAATTGTCTCACTGTTGGAATGTTACTGTTTAATACATATAGGAATCCAGGAGGTGATACCAGACGGACCATTCAATTTTCATCTGTCACAGTCTGGAAGAGATGGAATCCTGGTGCACATGCCCATTATCTTTGGGACTTTGTATATTGCAGGTTACTCTAGCAGTGCCAAGAGTGCACAGTGTACTGCAGCAGCAGTTTATCTTCATGGGAGGCTTGCCTTCAAATCTCCAATACCCATGTACTCTGGTGAACATGAATTGCTAAGAGGTCCAGGCAGACCCTACTACAATCCTGATGTTAAGCAGATCTTCCACTGTCCAACAGTGAAAAAAAATTAGGCTTTTCAATGTTAGATAATAAACTACTTCAATTGATGGTAACCTTTCAATTTGCTGGCAGGTTCCACAGTCCTGAGAGGACAGATCATATCACATTGTACTCCTTGCAGTAGAGGTGAAAAATAAAGTTCTGTCCAAATCATTAATTACACACAGTTGAGATGCATATGTGACTACTGTTTTACCAACCAAATATTTGTCATTTAATTCAGCACCAGTAGATTATACTGCTTATTGGACTACGAATGAACTTTATCAGACATTAAGGCCCTCTGTCTGCCTCTTTCTGCCTAAAAATATATCTCCAGCTACCAGTGAATACATATTAAAGCGGTATTAAACCCAAAATCAATAATGTTATATATTGCAGCTTGCCAATCATTAGATGTTGTGGCTCCATTAGTTTTCTTTTTTTAGTTCTTTCCCCTCTGTTTTTACCTGGTGATCTTACCAGTAACACACCCCCTGTATTAAAGTGCCTACACAGGGAGCGCAGCATTTTCAGTTTGGGGGGTGGGGGGTAGTGTTATATGTACCAGCACATTTAGATATATTAACAAAATAAAGGAAAATGCCAGCTCACATTTTATAATCACTTACAGCAAAGCGTTTTTTCCTTTTAAGAAAATAAAAGCTGATCATTGCAATTTCTCATGTCAGTTGTAAATGGTTTGTCTTATCCCTGTACACTGATACTCTGGAAGAGAGCTTGTTCTGTTGAAAAACAACAGATTTACTGGCTGCATCAGCAGATGAAAATAAAGGAAAGGAAACTAACGCCTCCTAGATTGTAAGCTTTAACGTGCAGGGCCATCTGTGTCCTCTCTGCAATGTCTACATTCATTTTGTAAAGAGCTGCGCAAACTGTTGGCGCTATATAAATCCTGTATAATAATAATGCAGCTATCACATCTAAGAACTGATAAGCTGCAATATAATAAATGTTTGCTTTTGGGTTTAATATTGATTTAAAGATACAGCACTGTGCAATGATTCACACACCATGCAAAAGCTCCCACTCTCAGTCTGATATCTGCAAGTTATGTGGGAAGATAAAATAAAAACAGATCTCAGGTAGTTATATTAGCATTTAAATAATAAATGTAATAATTTTTTATCAATTCCTAATTTAATAACTGTATTTTAAGAGGGTTTGTAGTAAATAAAACAAATAACAAGATTCCATTAATTATATTAAAAACGTAAGGCAATTTTGACTGCTGAGTGAAGCCCAGCATTTACCTTGATGCTGTTTTTAAAGATGTACCCAGGCAATGAGAAACCCTTCTTCTTGTCAATGGGTTCACTAAAGATGATAAGCTGCTCAAAGAGGAAGATCCTGCGTTCTTTACCCCGGGTCAGAAAACTGCACTCTTGTTCCATCACCAAAAAGGTGTCTTGCTGGAGAAGCTTCCCCTGAGCTGTGATCTTTCCCTAAACAAAAAACAAACACATTGTTAACAGTTGTTAAACGTTTTTGACGTTTCAGCAGATATAAAAGACACATAATAATAACTAATGTATTCAATAATATATCTTTAAATTAGCATCTTAAAATCCTATTTACAGCAGCACTTAGACTGGGGGTGGGAGGGGGCAGGTTTGGTGATTGCGGACTCCAGCGTCTGGCTCTGCTTTTGCCTACCTAGAAATTGTGTTTGTTCCCAACAACCTCTGGGTATTAATAAACCCTGTGTCTCTCACATCTTTTAAAAATCTGACAAGCCGTGTGGGACCTCCCTATGAAGGGCAGCAGCAACTGTGTAGGTCTAGGAACGTAACAGCAAATATCTGAACAGGTTTTTCACTTTCAGGGTTTAAAATGACAGGGATAGCCCTATTACTAGCATGTTTCTCAGTTGGCCTCCTGTCCTGGTGGATATGCATGGAGCAGCAAATGTTGATGCTCCATGCCTGAGCAAGCCCGTTGTAGGTGAAATGCGTCTGGAGAGTGTGGTTTGTTGGATGGAGACACTATATAAGTATGCAGCCATCTCTAATTTTTCATAAAATAAGGCAATAAGTCGATTTTACTATGGAGTGCCACTCTCATATAGTGCATATAGCATTAAACAAGTAGTTATTCTATATAAATGAAATTAAAAATTAGTGAAGCGCTTGTATCACATGAATACAATCATGTATCTCCATATAGTGTAATTATAAATCAAAGTGACCACTATATATAATAAATGTGTGTTGACTCCCTCTAGTGAAAAGAAAAAATAGTGTCAACCAAAATAGCTAAATAACACACATTAGGAAACTAAATATATAGTGCATAAATCAAATATAATGAACAGAATATATATATACGTGAAAACAGAATATTGGCCACATACAATGGTGTCTAAATTATACATAAATAATATATGCCATAGGTGAACAAGACAATATCAAAGGTGAAAAAAAATATTCCATGCATGTGACTGTGCTTTAAGCTGGAACACACACGTGATCTCCACTTCTAAGTGCAAGTACTCTCCTTCAAATGGCAGCAATGCCTGCTCACCTCCCTTCCTCGACCCACACAGGGCCTCAAAGCAGTTACCACCTCAGTGGTGTATTCCTCTGGCAGACTCCTTATTCCTCCTCCTCCTCTTATGCAACTCATAAAAAGACAAGAAAGCCTTCCATAGTGTAGTAAATTTAATAGGCAAAGTTAAAAATTACAAAGTTTTCCACTCACATGCTCCTTTCCATAAAAAAGCGTTTTTCCCAGCCTGTGGGTAGATATGCATGCACCTGGGGGAATCCAATATGGCCACTGTGTCCGGACATACGTCACCAGGAAGTAGACAAACCGACGCGTAGCGTCACGTGCGTCGTGACTTCATCAGGGTTCCTGATGAACCCTGATGAAGTCACGACGCACGTGACGCTACGCGTCGGTTTGTCTACTTCCTGGTGACGTATGTCCGGACACAGTGGCCATATTGGATTCCCCCAGGTGCATGCATATCTACCCACAGGCTGGGAAAAACGCTTTTTTATGGAAAGGAGCATGTGAGTGGAAAACTTTGTAATTTTTAACTTTGCCTATTAAATTTACTACACTATGGAAGGCTTTCTTGTCTTTTTATGAGTTGCATAAGAGAGGAGGAGGAATAAGGAGTCTGAATACACCACTGAGGTGGTAACTGCTTTGAGGCCCTGTGTGGGTCGAGGAAGGGAGGTGAGCAGGCATTGCTGCCATTTGAAGGAGAGTACTTGCACTTAGAAGTGGAGATCACGTGTGTGTTCCAGCTTAAAGCACAGTCACATGCATGGAATATTTTTTTCACCTTTGATATTGTCTTGTTCACCTATGGCATATATCATTTATGTATAATTTAGACACCATTGTATGTGGCCAATATTCTGTTTTCACGTATATATATATTCTGTTCATTATATTTGATTTATGCACTATAATTTAGTTTCCTAATGTGTGTTATTTAGCTATTTTGGTTGACACTATTTTTTCTTTTCACTAGAGGGAGTCAACACACATTTATTATATATAGTGGTCACTTTGATTTATAATTACACTATATGGAGATACATGATTGTATTCATGTGATACAAGCGCTTCACTAATTTTTAATTTTATTTTGCACTTATTGGTATCAGCTAAGTGACAGCAGCTGTATTTTGTCAATTATTCCCATGAGCGCAGGAGATCCCTTATTATTCTATATAAATGAGCGTATCTTGGATTATACAAGATAACCATGTCCTCTACTCTAATTCTGGACATACCTTACCAGCAAGTAGCTGCTGTAGTTAGTGAAAGTGGAATCAGAAGAGCAAAGGTGAAGAACAAAAATGAAGAACAGAGAAGCCTAAGCTACATGGACTGCGAACTTGATAAGAAAGAATGGGTATTCAAATAATTTGGAAATAAATAGGCATGACGCAGCCTATACATTTTATTTAGGTTCATGCACCATAGCTTGTGCATTGAGACAATTATGAATATACAGGAGAACATATCCCATAGAAACATGTAAGTTTCAAATTGTATTGCCATTAGACCAGCAGCTCTGGGTTTGCAATCTTAAAGTGATATCAAACGTTTGTTGTTAAAAAATAACAACCACTTCATACTTACCTGCTCTGTGTAATGGTTTTACACAAAGCAGCCCCAATCTCCTCTTCTTGGGTCCCCCGCCGGTGCTCCTGGCTCCTCCCCCTTGACCAATGCCCCCAACAGCAAGTTGCTTTCCACAGGGGCACTGGTGCATGCTCACTCCTAAACCCCGCTCTATGCATCCATAATACTCAGATATCTCCCCCCCCCCCCCGCTCTCTCCTCACTAGCTGTAATTGACACCCGCTGCTGTGTCTACTCCAATGAGGCGAGAGATACAATAGAATACAATAGCTCAGCTGGGGGAATATCCACATCAACCACTGGTTGAATGAAGAAAATAACTCATTTATGGGCTGCCTTACATTGGTCCAGCTTGCCTTGAAAAGTAGTGATGCCAATGATTCAACATAAAAACAGATGGACATGAGAGAAATTTCAGCCAACAAAACATAATTTTAGTCCAGTTTATGCCCTATGCTTTATAGTAAATAACGACATACCTCAAACCCTTGCAATCGGCCAAGGTTCATCATGTCATTGCATCGTTTGGGGACAAAGCACATCACTTCCACAGCTTTCTGTAAACACCAACATACAGCATGACTATACAGGCAGGTAGATTCAGAGGGATTTAAGTCTATACCAAAAACACGTAAACATTTCAGCACAGAGAAGTAAAAGCATGTCCCATTGAATAATGTTTTCACTCCCATAATCACTATATTCTGCAAACATGTTTACAGCTGAAAGTCCACATGTAGCCAAGGGTGCCTATATATAGTTTGATAAAAGAAATTAGTGCAACAGATCGGAGTATAGCCTATGATGTAATAAAAAAAACACCTAGGGAAAAAAGATCCCTTGATAGAGTACAATATTGGGGGTACAGTGTTGGCCAACACTACAGAGGAAAAAGATTTGGAAGTACATATTTCAGATGATTTTGAGCAAACAGCGTGGACAATGCAGAACAGAATTCTAGGATGGATCACTAGAGGTGTCACCAGCAGGAGAATAGAGGTCCTAATTTCCCTATACTGATCTTTAGTATAGAATTATATAGTTTAGAACAGAACTAGTCTGGAGACAGGCAACAAAAATAGTGAAAGGTCTGATGAATAATACATATCAACAGAGACTTCAAGAACCTACTATATACAGGCTGGAGGAAAGAAGGGAAAGGGGAGACATGATTGAAACCTTTAAATACATCAAGGGGGTGAATAAGGTTTAGGAAGGCAGTATTTTTTTTAATATATAAACCAAGATCAAGAACACTGAGACCTGACTTCATATTTGCAGGAGGAAAGTTCAAAACTAATCTTAGAAAGTATTATTTATCTTAAAGGGTAGTTAATGTTTGGAACAGGCTTCCAGCAAAGGGAATGAGTCAGTCAACAGAAAGTAAATTTGAACATGTTTACGACAAACACAGATCTATGCTCAGACAAAAAAATACAAAATAAAAAAAACAAACACACACACACATATATAAATTTAAAATATGGGACAGACTCAATGGACCACTTGTTCTTTCTTATGCCACCAGAAAAGCACACCGATATTTTCTGACATGCTGGAAAATCTATGCAAAACAGTTGTCAGACATTTGTTGCTTTGCTTCTCCATAAGTGGTTGGTATTCCTCAAACCACAAATGCATTATTATGTAATACCGGCTGAAAAAGGCGATAGATCGCTTGTGGCATGCTCTGTAAACTAATTATTCTTGGTGTGAAATTTGACCTTAAATGTTACTTATAACTTGTTTAATAAACAAGGTGATCTTCTGTGGTTTTGTTAGATTTAGCGGCAACAATTATATGTTTGCCTTTTTTTCTGAGAACTATGCAAATCATATTTGTTACCAATGCTGTGGGATACTGCAACTATTTCCCTATATGCTGTGAAATGTAATAAATCCATTATTTGCTTCCCCAGGCTATCTGTATTGCGCTCTCTCCTCCAATAACAAAGTCGTTGTAGTCGCACAGTTCTATACATCACAAATAATGTAATTTAATTTTCTAATTATGTAGCTCCGAACTTCCACAAGTAACACATGTGAGAAATGGCTGGGCAGTGCAGTGGACAAATTAAAGTTAAATAGACATGTCTGGCTGTCCTCATGTCTTGGGTGAGCAGCATTTTTGTTTAATCTATGAGGCAATGAACCATACTGCAGACTTACCAGGAGCAACACATTAGTAGCTAGACATGGTTTGCTAACTTGTCCAATTGCCATCTGCCCCACAGAACCATGGACACAGGTACTTCACAGACATTAGATCATCACCTCTTATGCCTGAACACCTATGAACCCTAACATTCCCTCCAAACAACTTGTTGCTTTAGGTCCTATCTACACTCAAATTCAGACCTGCTGATTCTATACTGTAGAGCCATAAAAACATACAGAGAAGAAAAAGGGACTTTTTAAGCACCAAAACTACAAAAAGATAAAAAGATCTTATATAAAAAAATACAAATTTATTGAACATAGTACATCAATGAAAAACATAGACAAAATACCGTATTTTCCGGCGTATAAAACGACTTTTCAACCCCTGAAAATCTTCTAAAAAGTCGGGGGTCGTCTTATACGCCGGTGCGAGCCGGTGTCAGGGCGGCACTTTTTCGAGGGGCGGCGCGGCGCCGCCCCCCCCTCCTCCTCCAAAGGACACAAAGTACAGGGGTGGGCAGAGGGGCTGCTGTACCTTACCTGGCTCCGGTCCCACGACGATCCGGTCCAGGAAGCGCGGCTGCTCCTTCTTTCAGTTCGGCCGCTCGATGGTCACGCGGCCACTCGGCTCCGCCTCCTCACCGGTGATTGGGCGCCAGCACTGGAAAGGCACAGAGGCGACCAATCACCTGCGAGGAGGCGGAGCCGAGCGGCCCCGCGAAAATCGAGCGGCCGAACTGGAAGAAGGAGCAGCCGCTCCTCTCCCCCACTGACACTAACGATGGGGCACTACTGCTCCTCCCCACTGACACCAACGATGAGGCACTGTTCCTCCTCCACTGACACCAACGATGAGGCACTGTTCCTCAAAAAAAAGAGACGTTTTGGATTTATGAACTAAATTCCTTGCAACCATTTGGGTTAAATGTCGATATAGATTTGAATTGTTTTCTCACAAATTTTTAATTTTTAATTTTTATGTTATTTTAAGTATATTTTTATATAGGCAACTGTTTAAAGATGATATATGGGAGATTGTATGCTTTTTGTACAATTTTTGCATTATTTTTGTATTATTACTAGAGTTCCCCTTTATTTGTGTTTAAAGTGTTACTGGCCCTTTAAGTTCCCTTTTTGAAACACAGTCTTAGAGGGTGCTGGCCCGTTAATGTATTTATTTATTTAATTTATTTATCATTAGTGTTTTATTTAAATTTCTTTTTTTCTATTTTTGTTCTCTTGTTTTAAAGTTTTTTTGCTTGTGATGGCAAATATATTGGATACATTGTATATCCTTTGTGGACTCCTGTCATCTGTGGGGCGGCTTGCTTTGCTTGATTCCCCATTGATGTCAGCTGTTCGTTTCCTGTGAGTGAATATTTAAGGAGGTTGAGACGTCTCACATCTATCCGCTCCGTGAGGACGTCGATGACGAAACGCGTAGGGCGGAGCTTGATTGATGTGACGTCATTACGTTTTTGGCTGCCAGCTACTGCGCATGTGCTGAGTAGCCAGGCTCGTTTATGTGATTGCTGTTATGCTGTTGATGCTGGTGTTGGCTGGGACACCTCTTGAGTAAGTGCAATGAGTACCTAATAAAGGAATTGGTTTTTATAATATTGCACCATGAAGTCTTTCTGTTTCTCTCGAGTGCTTGGCATTTCCCCCCATGGATACGTTTGAAGGTGGTCCTTTATCTAATGGAGAAGTGGATTTTCGATTAACTACAAAGTTTTTCATCCTGTTATTTCGATCGATGAGGATCGGTGTGTTGCAGAGTTTCCGTTTCTGAAGATATATTTATGGATGATCTGCTATTATCAAGGTTTTTTGGTGAAATTTTTCATATTTAGACACTTTTTTTGCACAAAAGTTTTTTGCACTTAAAAGTTTTTTTTTTATATATATTTTTTTGTGGTATTGGCATATATATATATTTTTCTGGACTTATGATTTGATGATTTCTTTATATATATTTATATATTTATACACATTTACTAGCGCAAATTATTTATTTACTGTTCCTCCCCCACTGACACCAACGATGAGGCACTGTTCCTCCCCCACTGACACCAACGATGAGGCACTGTTCTCCCCACTGATACCAATGATGGGGCACTATTCCTCCTCTCCACTGACACCAATGATGGGGTACTATTCTCCCCACTGATACCAATGATGGGGCACTATTCCTCCCACTGATACCAACGATGGGGCACTATTCTCCCCACTGACACCAATGATGGGGCACTATTCCTCCCCACTGACACCAATGATGGGGCACTATTCCTCCCACTGACACCAATGATGGGGCGCAATTCCTGCCACTGACACCAATGATGGGGTGCTATTCCTCCCACTGACACCAATGATGGGGTGCTATTCCTCCCACTGACACCAATGATGGGGTGCTATTCCTCCCACTGACACCAATGATGGGGCACTATTCCTCCCACTGATACCAATGATGGGCTGCTATTCCTCCCACTGACACCAATGATGGGGCACAATTCCTCCCACTGACACCAATGATGGGGCACGATTCTTCCCACTGACACCAATGATGGGGCACTATTCCTCCCACTGACTAATGATGGGGCACTATTCCTCCCACTGACACCAATGAAGAGGCACTATTCCTCCCACTGACACCAATGATGGGGCACTATTCCTCCCACTGACACCAATGAAGAGGCACTACTCCTCCCACTGACACCAATGATGGGGCACTATTTCATCCACTGACTAATGATGGGGCACTATTCCTCACACACTGACACTAATGATGGGGCACCATCATTGGTGTCAGTGGGAGGAATAGTGTCCCATCATTGGTATCAGTGGGAGGAATAGTGCCCCATCATTGGTGTCAGTGGATGAAATAGTGCCCCATCATTGGTGTCAGTGGGAGGAGTAGTGCCTCATCATTGGTGTCAGTGGGAGGAATAGCACCCCATCATTGGTGTCAGTGGGAGGAGTAGTGCCTCATCATTGGTGTCAGTGGGAGGAATAGCACCCCATCATTGGAATACCATACTGAAATAGCATACCATATTGAAATCAAATTTGATGTTTTTTCATTTTTATTTGATGTGTGTTGGAAGAGGGGTAGTCTTATACGGCGAGTATAGCTCAAACCCTATATTTTAACAGGAAAAGTAGGGGGTCGTCTTATACGCCCAGTCGTCTTATACGCCGGAAAATACGGTACATAAAAACATAATGTTGAGTTTTATGTATTGTGTCTATGTTTTTTCATTGATGTACTACAGTATGTTCAATAAATTTGTTTTTTTATATTAGATCTTTTTTTCTTTTTGTGGTTTTGGTGCTTAAAAAGTCCCTTTTTTTTCTCTGTATGTTTTTTTTATGGCTCTGCAATTTTGGAATAAGCACCCTGTATGTTTAACACATTTGACCAGCACTATATATTTTCAAATGATTCTATACTGTAGATCAACAGTTGAAGTACAAATACAACTAAAGTCATTTTTTTCCTTTTCTTTTGGATGGTGTAGGAAATGGATAGAAACCATTTTTTATTTATTTACTTTTTTTCAGGTTTCCAAGTGAAAATATACATGCCAAACTAATATAAGCAAAGTAGTATGTACAAGCAAAGAAAGAGTAGGTTATGGATTTTATTCCATTCCAATGGCATGTCGTAAATGCTTTGTTAAAAATGTTTAACAAAAAGCAGTATAATAAAAAGGTAGAGTAGGTACATTAATTGTTCACACTTTTAAACATATCCAACATTGGTGAAGGGGCATATTATGATGTATCAGATGTACAAACAAGTACATAACCACTGGCCAGGGGTTTGGAGAATGGTTAGGGTGTACACGGGAGAAAGAAAAGGGGGGCAGAAGTGAAGACAAGGTCTAGTCCTTGTTCCAGTGGGAATTAGATGCATAAAAATAACCATACAACATTGTGAATCATTTACTAATTAATCATTAGAGGTTAACAAAGCCTCCATTTAAGAGCATGTAGTTTTGAAAGCTGTCCAGACAACCCATATCTATCAATAATTATCTTGGGTATTTTTGTGGTTGTGAATTAGTGCTTCCATTAGGTGTGCCTTTTTTTCAGAAACCAGTAAAACACAACTTAGTTGCCACCAGAATGGGTGTCTCCATCAGATGATTTCCACTCTATTCTTGTTACTTTGGCAGCAATAACATTTTGGATTTTTCTTCGCTTTCTGTCCAGGTTACAATGCTGACCAGGATAAATAAAGAGGTTGAATCCCCCCAGCCATGATATAGGCAGCAATAAAGCCCTTGTAAATTGTAACCCAACCCACTCTATTCAACATTGTCAAAAAATGTTGGTTCATGTCAAATTGAACTGAAATGGGTACATAAAGGTATCAAATATTTATAGTTTGTTCATAAAAAAACAGGATGGTCCAGGAAGGAAGTATGCTTTTCTCTATTTTAAAGCAGCAAACCATAGTCTGTAATAACATACAGTAATTTCTCCGATGTGCCTTAACCTGAACATGCTATACAATCAAGGAATTTTACCCACCTCCAGTTCTGTTGTATCTTGTCCGGCTTTACTGAAATACTTAAGAAAGTCCTGAAAAAGGATAAAAGAAGAAAAATTAGTGTATAGTTAGTTACAATGATCTACATTTATTGAATGATTTGTTGCTGCATTTTAATCTTACATCCTAATTTGTTTTTAAATATTCTCTACATGTAAAAGAGAACACCTTGATATAAATAATTTTATCTGGATAAAAAGCACTATCTCTCCAGCGCCTCAAAAAGGGGTGAATGCCAGGAAAAGACCAGGAAGTTCAATGAGTTGATAGCCTATGGATAATTTCTTGGTGGTGCAGCCCTCCTCAGACTGGGAAATCGTCAAAAATTGGAAAGGAAGCACACAGGTGGCGCAAACACCTAGCGCATTATCCAAGGTTTATTAGAAAAGAAAAAGACAAAAAACATGCTTACAAAATGAAGTACATGCAAAAGCCTAAACGCCACAATGATGGCCCACAATGATGGCAGAGTGTCCGACTGGTGGTGCGGTCAGCCCCTCTGACGTGTTTTGGGAAAGTATTCCCTTCCTCAGAGCTGAAGCCGACAAGTGAAGATGCCCTAATATATATATATATATATATATATATATATATATATATATATATATATATATATATATATATATGTGTATGTGTATGACAAGTGCATAACAATAACCGCCTCAAGAGAAAACTCATTCCCCAAAATCAGCGTGGGAGGGGACCATTAGAAGGAATGCAAAAAGTAATAAATACATTTATGATACAAATATACAATAAAAAAGGTGTGGTTATACATTGATAAAAGATGTGAAATTAAATTTAAAATTGAATAATATTGATTAATACTCAATTCAACCTGGCCCCTTGTGATAGCAGCAAAAATGATCCGTCTCAGCTAATTGTAGATAGCTGTTGGTGAGTCAATGAATACATAAGTCAATGAATAAATAAATGAATAAATGATAATATGACTAGTCTTGTATGGAATACATACATGTACAGTACAGCACAGTTACTAAAAACATTCTTTGATGTTTCAGCTGACAGCTGAATGCAAAAAGAATTGTGTCGATGTCCCAATATTTATGGACCTGACTGTATATATACCATTTTTGTAGATGCTATAACTTTCGCACCAACCAATTATCATACACATATTGGGATTTTTTTTAACAAAGACAAGTAGCAGAATACATTTTGGCCTAAATTTATGTAGAAATTTGATTTTATTTATTGGAAATGTTTTAGAACAAAAATATTTTATTTTTCAGAATTTTTTTCATTTATATATAAAAAAAAAAAAAAAAAAACAGTGGTGATCAAACACCACCAAAAGAAAGAAATATAAAGTTAGTTGCATTAGGCAAACTATTTTTGAGTGATTAAAGTGTCCCATACCTTTAGCAGCAGCTGGTACTTCATGATCCTCTGCACCGGTTTAATAAGTAGGTCATTGAGTTGCAGGCGATGTGACAGCTGTTGCCTCAACTCCTACAGCAACATGGTCACAAAGAGAGGATGTTATTGGTGACAGAAAGAGTTCATTAGCCTTTATGCACTAGTAAATCCAATGTCTATTACATACACTAGTTTATCTGCAGGTAACAGTACATTTTGTCTAGGTCTCTCTATTTTCTGCAGGAATTCACCCTAAGATTATGCTTTGTCCACAAACAAGACAAAGAAAGGGTGAATTATTAACCACTTCCGCACCACCCTATAGCAGAAATACTGCTACAGGGCGGCACGGGTGCGCAAAATCATATATATACAGGTGAAACTCAAAAAATTATAAAAGTTCATTTATTTAATAAATGCAACTTAAAAGGTGAAACTAATATATGAGATAGACTCATTACACACAAAGCAAGATAGTTCAAGCTGTGATTTGTCATAATTGTGATGATTATCAGCTCATAAAAACCCCAAATCCACAATCTCAGACAATTAGAATATTGTGAAAAGGTGCAATATTCTAGGCTTAAAGTGTCCCACTCTAATCAGCTAATTAAGCTATAACACCTGCAAAGGTTCCTGAGCCTTTAAATGGTCTCTCAGTCTGGTTCAGTAGGAATCACAATCATGGGAAAGACTGCTGACCTGACAGTTGTGCAGAAAACCATCACTGACACCCTCCATAAGGAGGGAAAGCCTCAAAAGGTAATTGCAAAAGAAGTTGGATGTTCCCAAAGTGCTGTATCAAAGCACATTAATAGAAAGTTATGTGGAAGGGAAAAGTGTGGAAGAAAAAGGTGCCAAGCAGCAGGGATGACCGCAGCCTGGAGAGGATTGTCAGGAAAGGGCCATTCAAAAGTGTTGTGGATTTTCACAAGGAGTGGACTGAGGCTGGAGTCAGTGCATCAAGAGCCACCACACACAGACGGATCCTGGACATGGGCTTCAAATGTTGTATTCCTCTTGCCAAGCCGCTCCTGAACAACAAACAACGTCAGAAGCGTCTTACCTGGGCTAAAGAAAAACAGGCCTGGTCTGTTGCTCAGTGGTCCAAAGTCTTCTTTTCTGATTAGAGAGCAACTTTTGCATCTCATTTTGAAACCAAGGACCCAGAGTATGGAGGAAAAATGGAGAGGCACACACTGCAAGATACTTGAAGTCCAGTGTGAAGTTTCCACAGTTTGTGTTGATTTGGGGAGCCATGTCATCTGCTGGTGTTGGTTCACTGTTCTTCATTAAGTCCAGGGTCACCACAGCCGTCTACCAGGAGATTTTGAAGCACTTCATGCTTCCTTCCGCAGACGAGCTTTATGGGGATGATGGACCATTTTCCAGCAGGACTTGGCACCTGCCCACACTGCCAAAAGCACCAAAACCTGGTTCAATGACCGTGAGATTACTGTGCTTGATTGGCCAGCAAACTCGCCTGACCTGAACCCCACAGAGAATCTATGGGGCATTGCCAAGAGAAAGATGAGAGACATGAGACCGAATAATGCAGAAGAGCTGAAGGCCGCTATTGAAGCATCCTGGTCTTCCATAACACCTCAGCAGTGCCACAGGCTGATAGCTTCCATGCCACGCCGCATTAATTGCTGCAAAAGGGGCCCAAACCAAGTAATGAGTACATATGCTGCTTATACTTTTCAGAGGTCCGATATTGTTCTATGTACAATCCTTGTTTTATTGATTGCATGTAATATTCTCATTTTCTGAGATTGTGGATTTGGGGTTTTCATGAGCTGTAAGCCATAATCATCACAATTATGACAAATCACGGCTTGAACTATCTTGCTTTGCATGTAATGAGTCTATCTTATATATTAGTTTCACCTTTTAAGTTGCATTACTGAAATAAATGAACTTTTGCAAGGTATTCAAATTTTTTGAGTTTCACCTGTATATATATACAGTATATATATATATATATATATATATATGTGTGATTTTGCAGTTCCGCGCCATCATTCGTGGCCCTGGCTATCAATCACTGGGTCCTGGACGGTGATTCCCTGCCAGCACCTGGCAATATCTGTGTATTACAGACGGGGGACAGAACTGTGTATAAACAATACAGATCTCTCCTGTGTCAGTTCCTGCATAGCAGAGCCATACAAAGCAGTGTACTTACAATGTAAAGCACACACACAGCACACAGTTAACCCTTTGTTCACCCCATATGTTAACCCCTTCCCGCCATTAGTACAGTGTCAGTGCTTTCTATTAGTTCTAATCACTGTATTGGTGTCACTTGGGATGTCAGTGACACCAAGTCAGTTCCCCCAGGGTCAGAATGTCCGCCACAGTCCTGGTATAAGTCGCTGATCGCCGCCATTATTAGTAAAAAAAATCCCAGTATATATATAAGCGCTATAACTTTCACGTAAACCAATTAATTTACAGGTATTGGGATTTTTTTTAGCAAAAAACATGTAGCAGAGTACATTTTGGCATAAATTTATGATGAAATTTGATTTTTTAAAATTTTTTTACTGGACATGTTTAGTAGCAAAAAGTAAAAAATAGTTTTTTTTCATAATTTTCGGTCTTTTTTTGTTTATAGCGTAAAAAAAAAAAAACCGCAAAGGTGTTCAAATACCACCAAATGAAGCTCTATTTGTGGGGGAAAAAAGTACATAAATTTCATTTGGGTGCAACGTTGCATGACCACACACTTGTCAGTTAAAATAACGCAGTGCCATATTGCAAAAAATGGCCTGGTCAGGAATGGGGGTAAATCCTCTGGAGGGCAAGTAGTTAAAATAAAGGAAAAGTTAGGAGCGGGGTTGTAACTAGTTGGCACGAGCAACAAGTTAACCTGCAAAATATCTTGAACATTACATTATAAGTGAAGTTGAATGTGACTAACTACTACTAGCCATGACCTGAATAAATGAGAACCTTCAAGTAGTAGTAGGGGAAAACCACAACAATTAAATCAAGACAAGTACTATGTTTGTAATGTCTTTTTTTCCTATTTACATTATGGCCTCATTCACATGGGCGTACTACAGCGTACACCTGTGTGGGGCCATGTTTGCCTGCACGGGGGATGCACAGGTGTTCCATGCATCCCTCTGCAGGAAGTCTCTTTCATTTCAATTGGGACACAGTGGCTGCAAGAACACAGCCACTGCCCTCAAATTGACATCCATGGAGGGGCATGGCCCCGAATGCAAGCAGTGTGCTTACGGGGCCATGCGTCCGTACCTACACAGCTGTCAAATTGGGACCAGTGGCTGTGCCCATGTAGCCACTGCTTCCCAATTTACAATAATGAGACTGCCTGCACAGCATGCATGAAACACTTGTGCATCCCCATGCAGACAAACATGGCCCTCGCATGGTGCATCCCCATGCAGGCAAAACATAGCCCTCTCATGGGTGTATGCTGTAGTATGCCCATGTTAATGAGGGCTTAATTCTCAATTTAGAATCTTAAAGTACAATAATGAAAGCAAAACTTTGTTTTCAGCTTTACTTAGGGTGGTGCACACTTGTTAGGGAAATTCACAATCTCTATTTGTCCTGGTGATCATTATCACTAAAAGTAAATGTGAAAGAAAATCCCAAATGTTGAGTTGTCAATTCTGATGACCCTGGTGACTATGAGGGATTTCCTTCATTTTGGAGAGATATCCTCATACTTCCTGTTGTGGCTATGGAACAGGAAGTGTAGGGGAATCTCCTTAATGGTAACACAGGTTTTTCTCTTGTCCACAATGGAAAAAAAGTTTTGGCTTCAGTTCACTAAACTTTTACAATAGCAATGACAATAAATAATGTAGACTTTTTTACTTACCTCAAAGTAGGTATCGATATACTCGGATACAATGTGCTCAGACTTGGGCTTGTTTTTGACAATATACCACGTACATGTGCAACCTGCGCTCCTAAACAAACAACAATTGAAAATAATTAATAGACCAGTGAATTAAAAAGAAACTTACAAGTTTTATTTCCCAGTTGGGTCTTGACAAGAAGTTCTTCCCTTAGGGCTGGTTCACACCATGAATTACACAGGAACACACTGTGCATTCCTATGTGATGCACATAAGATCCAGGTGCAGTGCGACTTCATTTAAATGGGCTGGAATTGCGCCAGACCGCACCATAAGTAGTTTATGCATGATGCGGTGCAGGTAAACACACTAAGCTTGTGACCTGTGTTTGGGGTGTTAAGTTACCATTGACACAGACTGCTTTCAACAACTTTCCTATTAGATTATACCTATATCTAACATTTTTCTCCATGTTATCAACCTGTATACACCTCCCTCGTGTAGATATGAGAATACTGCTGGGTGCAGCCATTTTGGATGCAATATCTGCAGCCCTAGATGACTTAGAGCTGTCACTCAAATGACACTCTATAGCAGGGATGTCAAACTAGCGGGCCTCCAGCTGTTAAGAATCTACAAGTCCCATCATGCCTCTGCCTTTGGGAGTCATGCTTGTAACTGTCAGTCTTGCAATGCCTCATGGGACTTGTAGTTTGACAACAGCTGGAGGGCCGCCAGTTTGACATCTGTGCTCTATAGTATTCTCCTTCATTTATCTCTCGGCCAGACATAAAAAGTTATGTAGGGAGATATGTGTAAGATTGGAGAAGCTGGGTCAGCATAGACAGCAATTAGAGACACTTAGAAGAGGAGAGGGCTATGATATAGCAGCAAGGGGGTAAATGTGGCTGTGCTAGGGAGTCCTCCTAATGTGGTCCAAGTTTTAGCAGGTTCAAAGGCAAATTGCAATTAAGTTAAAAAAATAGAGAAAGAACATTTCTGCAATTAAGCACTTATGATATTAGACCTTTTTCTGTGCTTTCATCTGCAAATTTTTGATTTGGTGACAGAGTGTTTTTAAGTAGAATTTCTGATTTCCCTCTCCAGGGGGCATTCTTCCATATCTCCCTGTGCAGAAACCACTATGAGGCCAAAGGGATTCACAGCAAAGCTCTGGCTATGACAGTAGGATTTAGGTTGGACAGTAAGCTCTTCATCAGGGTCAGAAACAGCAGTAAAGACTAGATAGGGGATCAAACCCCACCTTGCACCCCTTACAACTTAGCTGATATCACAGAACCCCTCTATATTTTGTTACAGTGTAGCCCCTTAATTTTCCAAGCATTCAAAACTTTACATTTTCAGTTCTAGTTGCCACAAATGTATGTCAGCAAATAGCATAGACACAGGTAGAGGTTAATTTACTAAAATCAAATACGCTGTTAACTTAGCAAATTGAATTTTCCCTTAGCTTAGCGAATGAGGTGAAGTTCTCCTGAATGCCACCATCTAATCTTTTCCCTGAACCTGACTAGATATTTGGAATGGCTGGGGAAAACCATTATGTAATTATGTGACATAGTTTTATTAAATTTTGATCTCGCCAGTGGATCTGACAAGGATTTCTACTTCCGGTTATAGGGTGACAATGCTGTTCATTCTGCAATGAAATCACATAACAGCATTCTCACTCTGTGGAGAGGGTAGTCTTAGATGAACATGTACTTATAAAAAGACTTTAAGAGAGACAGGACAAATTAACACCCAACTCCAGCTAACACATTTAGGCAGTTTTGTCAACAAGTCGGAACAAAATAAGCACAAGAAATGCTACTTACCTTCATTGTGATGTGTCCCTTTGCGTCTGTCTTCTAGTTCAGTAGCAATTTTTCTCCTCCAATGTATCCCCAACTCCAGTTGCTGTGACCTTCTGGTGCGGTGGGGGCAATAGAACTGAGGAGCTGTCACAGGCTCTTATCAAGAGTGCTTGACTATGCTCGCTCCTTTCCCCCCATTTCTTCTATTCATAGAAACCATACTACAGCTTTTATGAATGAAACAGGATCTATGAATGAAGGGGATGAGCCTTTCAATCAATCGTCCACCATCCTCCATTCACAGATGCTGTTTCATTCATTAAAGCTCTAGTACAGCTTCTATGAATGTAGGAGTGGGAGGGCATTGTCGAGCGTGCTTAAAGTGGTTGTAAAGAATTTTTTTAAAATAACAATGTCTATACTTACCTGCTCTGTGCAATTTGCCCTGATCCTCCACTTTTCGGGTCCTCCGCCAGTGTCCCTGCCTCCTCCTCTCCTGCTGGTGCCCCCAAAAGGAAGCTGATTCCCATGGGGCACTCGTGCGGGCTCTCTTCCAAGTCCTGCTGCTGTGTCCATTGACATAGATAGCGGACTTGGCCCCACCCCCTCGTAACTGAAGTTGATGGCTCCCACTGATATCAATCTGCCCAGCGAGGAGGGACAAAGCCAGGAGAGCCACAGCTCTCATGCACAGAGCTGGATCGTGATGGGGCTCAGGTAAGTATAAGGGAGGTGAGGGGGGAGTGTGAGACACAGACCTTAATGTATAGCATGCAGTGAAGTAAAAAACATTGAGGTCTTAGAACCACTTTAATGAGACCCTGTGACAGCCCCTTAGGTCTATTAACCCCCACCACACTAGAATAGTACAGCAGCAGGCGTGGAGAAGCACAAGGAACACATTACATTGAAGATAAGTAATATCCCTTGACCTTATTTTGTATATTTTTTTTCAGGTGGATTTAGGCTTGAAGCCTTAGGAATAAGAATGGGCAGTTGTAAGCCCCTGAGTGTGCAAATTGTTTTTTATCAACCCTATAACTGCCACTATTGCTGGACCACTTGGCCTGGTAAGGGAAGCAGAATCATAAATGGAACTACTGGTAGGATCCACAGGTAATAAACTATATTATAGGGGTGAGAGAGGGGAGAAAAACAAAAATTGATTTGCTAATGCAATTGAGAGACTGTTTCATATTCAGTATGTCATTTTTAATTTTTCCTATAGTTACAGTTTAAATAACTAGCCCCATTATATTATTCTCCTGAATGAGAGATATATTTCATATCATACACCTGCATGTTCCAGCTTCAGTATATACATTGGTTTTAAATGTCTTTAACAAAAAGGCCATGCTGTCTCAATCACACTCAGGACCAGTGGAATGCATTACTTACAGTAGCAATGCTTTAAAGACTTAAGCCTGTAACACACAATCAGAAAACTGTATGAAAGATACCACTTTCAAGGCGATCGTACGATAATCTGATCATTAGTACAGAGCTTTTGTCCGAAATTATTCGAAGAGACAAGCACAAATTTTTTTTCGTATGATATCAGATTGTATGATTTTCGTTTAATTAATACAGTTTTCGTCCAAAAATACAATACATTCCATCACTTTTGAATTTTTATTCCGTCGTACAAGAATTTTTGTAACTTTAGTAACCTCTTCACTTTTGATATACCAAAAAAAAACCCCCAGATGATCATTCGCCAGATATTCTCATTGTGTGTACGGGGCCTAAGTCAAAAAAATAGCCTATGCAGTCGAGGGGCCAAGCAGATTTAAAAAAAACTGTGCAGCTTTGTAAAATGTTCTTAATTTTTATTGTCATACCTGTAGGTAAGTTATGTAAGTTGGCACCCCCAACCACCCAAATACCTTGCTGCTAGGATGTGAAAGCCACTGGACACTTAGTCCCAGCATTACAGGGGGACCTAAACAGCCTACAAGCAAGGCCGATGCTTCCACTAGGCACACTAGGCAGCCACCTAGGGTGCACTGCCACCTAGGGGCACCTGTGTGCAGCACAGGCCTGCACTCTCTCCATGTGGTCTATGGACCTCTTGTATGAATTCTTCATTTCTCTCCAGAGTCCCCCTCTTCTCATACCCAGGGAATGACGAGGGAGGGGTATATTTACTCTGTACAATTGTCTCACAGCCTGTCCACACACATGAGCATTTAGTATATATATATATATATATATATATATATATATATAAATATAACAGTATTAAAGGTAGCAGTGAAGTGATGACATTAACCCAGGACCCAGGGTGGTCAGCGGTCTGTACATCTCCGGTACATACACTGGCACACACATTCTTCAAGCTGTAACAGGGAGCCCACTAGTGAGCGAATGGTGTGTGTCCAGCACTGGCTCCGCCTTCTTTTACACAGCTAGAGCTAATCAATAGGCGGGGTGTGCTTCGGTTGCAGGGTTAGCCCTATGTGAGTAGGATGATTGGAGCCCGGTGTGTATGAGAGGGAAGCAGTGTAGTGCTGGGAGGCTGCCTGTCCTCACTGAGAGCTGCAGCCTGGACTCCGCACCCTGGCAGGACACATCAGAGGTGAGCTAAGCCTAGGAGGATGGAGGGTCAAGGAGGTGACAGGAGGTGAAGGCAGGCGGACAATGATTGGGGTGCGGAGAGCGGATGCTGATTGATCATGTGGGACACTGCCACATCTTGAGTGATCCTTTAGCTGAGGAGAGGGGCAGCAGAGGGGGAGGAAGAAAGGACAGAGGAAGATGCCAGGTGTCTGGGGCCAGTGTAGCTCCTTCCAGTGTTCATCTCAGACTCAGTCCTTTACTGCAAGCCAACTGGCGGCTGATGATCACTGTGGAGTTTTGCAACTCTTGACTCTTTTTTTTTTTTTTTGTTTCTCTGTCTGATTGGTTAATACAGTTAACTTATATTTGGTTAATACATATTTTGTCTTTAATATTGGTGCTGGTGGCATCTTATGGCACTAATTTTGCAAATTAAGCAGTTTCATGTTTAAATAAATTTAGCTGTTTCATGTTTTGATGAGTTAATATTTTCAACTGTTTTTAAAATCATTTATTTATTATTGCGGGGGGGGGGGGGGGGGGGGTATCTGATCTTGCCTAGGGCACAAAAAAGTCTAGCACCGGCCCTGCCTACAAGCATAATGTTAAAATAAATGAACATTTTACAAACTTGCACAGCTTGTTTATATCTTTTGGGCCCCTTTAATGCATAGGCTACCTTCTAGAAAAGGTGAACTTTGCTTTTAAAGCATTGTTTCTTTTAGTAATGCATTCCACTGGCCCTGAATGCAACTGAGACAGCCTAGCTTTTTGTTAAAGACGTTTAAAGCCAGTGTGTATACTAAACTTCACACCAGTAAAAGTGTCTTCACTTCAACAGATGCAAAGGCGTACATAATATGAATACATACATTGTATGCAGGAGACATGCTGCAATTCCCCTGACATTAACATGACTGTAAATGGATAATAATTTGTAATATTGTAGATCTACAAGATCATGCCACTTACTCTTTGTGCCAGTCAAATATCTGATGTATGTTTCCGAAGACAATTTTGTCTTTTCCCTTCATGTCCTCGGGAACTCCTTGAGCAGTCATGGTTGCCATGTAACCCTGTGGAAAAAGTTGACATGTTCAATGTAATACACTATACAGTACTAACGTTCAATATGTACCATGTGTCTTTCACAGAATTATAAAGTGTTAATGAACAATAAATATAATATGTACAGTTTGCTAACTGATTGGATCTGGCATGGTCACTGAAGTCTGCAGGCTGTGCTGCATATAGCAAATCACCTAATAGACATTAAAGGGGAACTCCAGGCAGATATTTTGGTCATATCTGCTGGAAAAAAGGTGACGCAGCTAAGGTTTATGCCATGTCTGGATCACTTCTGTGTAATGTAAAATGTACACTTTCATTCATGTACAATCGCACTGTACTTTTAGCAAGCTGTGGTTATGAGACCTACGGCTCTTGTATAGGGAGACAGTATTGTTACATGGTTACATAGCTAGTCAGGTTAAACACATCCGCACTTTTTATCCACACTCCCCCTTGTCTATTCGCAAAATGCCTTGTATTCTGTAAATGGTTCTCTGAATCAACATACCATATCTAAGCTGGTATGGACCAAGATAAAAAATGCTCAGTCTATGATACAGCTCCCTTCTATGTACTGTAAGTTATGGGTTAGTTATAGGGTGTACAATTCTAGGATAAATATTAGATTCTCTGCCATTACAAGAAATACAAGCAAAAAGGGTTCATAGTCATTTCAAACCTTTTAAAACATCTAGATTCTTTATTAGACAGACATTCTTCTTTAAAACATATTCCATTCCATTCATTGTAATCAAACTCTATTTAATCAACCAATTTTAATTAAGTGTTTTCGATGAACCGGAGCCCTGTGTAATGTTAAATAAATTAAAATGATGGTGAAGTTTAATTAAACACGGATGGTCCTTAGTACAAAATAACCACTTGTTCTTCATTAGATCTTGTAAGTGCTTGCAGGCAGGTCCAACAGTTTTATCCCTCATTATTTCATGGTACATTTCTATATTTATTTTGTAATTGATTCTGACAAAGGCATTTAGTATCTGAATTTGTTGCAGTAAAGGGGGAACACTTTTTCAGACTGTAAAAATGAAGCCATGAGAATGGACTGAAAAGGAACTATATGGGAAGGTAATAACATTTTCTGTTTTTCTATGTGATTGTAACTTATATAACTGTATAATTAATTTTTTTTTGGGTTCAATTTATCCTTCCCACACCTGTCCTTAAACCCACCAATAGTGCATGTTTTGAAGGGGACATCATGGGGTTTATTTACTAAAGCTGGAGAGTCCAAAATCAGACTCCCTTCTGCATAGAAACCAATCAGCTTCTAACCTCAGCTTGTTCAATGAAGCTTTGGCAATGAAACCTGGAAGCTGATTGGTTTCTATGCAGAAGGGAGTCTGATTTTGGACTCTCCAGCTTTAGTAAATAAACCCCCATGTGTCTGGATGAGTAATTCGTGTTTCAGCAATGCAGTTGAGGTACCTGTATTCAAAAAAATGTGTCTTGAGCTATTGAGCTCCACTAACAAAATACTTCTTACAACAAAGTTATAAAGGAAACAAATGGAAATGGAGGAGCTCCATCTGCATTATGCAAGTATGTAGTCAGTTATTTTGTGTTTTTCATTGCAGTAGTAGAATACTATACTATGTAAGCCATTGATTAATGCAGAAAGTCATTAATGAACATTTCAAAAGGACATCTGAGGTGAGGATTGTGCCTGAACATCTTATTTCTGAGTTCATTATTCCGATAACATCTAAACTCTAATCTCTTTATAGCCTAAACCTTCAGGATAGCCAATACTACACAAGTGTAGGTTTCAGAACAATTTTCAGAATTGTAACCCGAAGAAAGGATTTAAGGCATCCTGAAAGCTTGCATATTTAATAGTTTAATTTAGATAATACAATAAATCGTATCACTTAAAGTGTTACTAAACCCAGGACCCGGCATTCACTATATCTGTTCTCCCACAGTACACACTACATGGAAATGCAATTATTTTAGTAAATATAAACTTCTAAATACCTTTTTTTCATCAGCAGTATATAGCAGTCTTGTGACTTCTATCAGTGTCTGGCCAAGCACTGGATAATGTTGTAGGAGAGTTTTCATTCTCCTCTAACTGTCCTATGAGGCTGCATGACCCCTCACCCTCTGTCTGGACAGCGCTGATTGGCCCTGTGCTGATCACATGCACCCTCCCCCCCCCCAAAAATGCTCTAGCAATACACAACAAACAGAGCATGTGCAGATTTGCCACAGAAGCTCTGTACCATCAGTAGATGGACTGGGGACAATAAAAGAAGAAGAGGATCAAAGAAGACAGGATCAAACAGCCTTTTTACACAATGCAGAGTATTAACCCCTAAGGTTCCACAGTGAGTATAACAGGCATGCTTAATTGCTTAGACAGACTGATTTTTTACTGTTGTGTGTCTAGTAACACTTTCAACTCCAAACTGACATTAAAGAGTTTATATTTGTGTTAAGGCTTGAAAACAATACCCTTGGAGTAGGGTTCTCCACGCTGAAAAGTGAAATGCACTCACAATGGCAGTTTTACCTGTACTTAGGTAAGGTTCACCCCCTTGGTTCTTTGGTTTGTGTAATGAGTGCTCCAAACCATGCTCAGGAACAGTTAAAGTGATTGTAAATCCTCACCTTGTAGAACAACCCATTCAGCTTAAAATGGAAATGAAAGGCAAAACATTTGTGTCTAGATGTAATAAACAAGGGAGAATGTCACAAGCTCACCAAGAATCACCAATATGGGTCCAAAAGTTTTAATGAACGATCACATAGTTACAGCAAGACAACGTTTCGGAGTCTCACAGGACCCCTTCATCAGGCATGTGACATCAGTGTGAACCCAGGCTTAGGCAAGTGCTGGAAGCCAGAAAAACCACAGCTGTGAAAACAGCCTATTTCTGTTTCTTTGCTAGCTGTGTCTGACAGCCATGTGCCCAGCCTGGAGGGGGCACCCTGTTCTATTTTGCAGCTCAGCAGGCACTGGACACATTTAGTTCCATGTATGGGCAGGGAGGTTTTATGGAAGTCGATCTACTGATTGACTTCTGTACAACTGCCCTGAATGATTTTCTCTGCTCAAGCAGTGCTGCAGGCAATAGCCGGAAGCACATATCAGTGTGTTCTGAGAGCTGGGAAGTCTCAATAGCTCAGCGTGGAGGATTCCTCCATCCACATCACGTGTGTGAATGGAGGAATTAGCAAGAAATAATGTCACCAGCACACCGAGGATCACCAATATGGGTCACATGCCTGATGGAGGGATCCTGCAAGACTCCTAAATGTTGCCTTGCTGTAACTATGTGATCATTCATTAAAACTTTTGGACCAAGATTGGTGATCCTCGGTGTGCTGGTGACATTCTCCCTTGCTGATGCTGTTTGTTTCCAGCCGACAGTTGCTGCAGCACTTACTTTTATACACACAGCCATTTTTAACACAGGAAGGTGTGCGTTTGGATTGGACACTTGCATTCTAAATGTAATAAACATTAAATTTTTCCCCTTTTATATAAGTGATCACATACCCTCTGTTCTCAGCTGCACAAGAGCTGGGGGAGGAGAAACCGCAGAAAAACTGGTTTTCCTAGCGAAAGGCTGTGCGGGGTGGGGAGTGTCAGGACAAGTCTGATCGTTGAAGGAGAGCAGGCTGATTTCCCAGCACACCTAGATAATTGCCCATGGTGTGTTTTTCCTGTTTAGTGTGGTTAGTTTTTAATAGGTAAGCAGGGGGGCTGTCAGGAAGACCAGGGATTTCACATAAAAAAGCAATACAAAGAAAAATATATTTTTTTCATACAAGTACATTATACAGAATCACATTTCAGTGTGAGCACAGAACCAGGGATCACTGTGGTCTGGATGACGCAAGTGTGTCTAGAAACACTTAATTTAAAGCACAATGTAAGTGCAGACCATCAGGTGTGTGTGTGTGTGGGGGGGGGGGGGGGGGTGGACAGCAAAGCTAAGGCAGGTTTCGATTAAATCATACCCAGTGTGAGTGCACATTTACTCTGCAGGGTACAGGGATTACAAGTAATTCCAAGTAATTCTGGGGGGTACAGAGATAACAAGTAGTTCTTAACATATTCCTTGGTCTTGTAGGCTCCTTCTATCTGTGTCACCAGGTCCCCGCAGCCTCCTCTCCAAGCTCCTCAAAGCTGCAATTTCATTAGCGAATGTCTATTTGCTGATCTGCCCTTTCTGCTAATGACCTGAAAGTAACATGTAAAATGTCACTTCCAGGTCCCAGTGTCACTATCGCCAGTCAGTATGGCTGTGGAAAAAGCTAATGAAATGTGATCTGCACTCCATTAGCTTCAATGGGGGGCAGGTGAGATCAGGGGTCTTTTAAACCCCTGATGGCCCATCAAAGAGAACCTGACACTAAAAGAAAAAAAATCACGTGGGGGACTTTTTGTCCCCTATGTGGTGAACAGTAAAGTTTTGTGGAAAAAAGGTGTAAAAATTGAAGTTCCACCCAAGCACTTAAACCCCCCCCCCCAAAAATGTTTAAAAACCCCCCCACATACATGCGCATAGGTAATTGCACATATTGGGGGCACCTACACAAAAAAACATCAATTGCGATCAATAATTCTAGGAATATTATTCACAATTAACTCTAAACTGATTACCTGTAGGGGCCTTTAAAATGTTGGGTATCTATTTACTTAGTGCAACATCATCTTTTATATTTTACCAAAAAATAACAATATAATGAACTGTGTGCCCTAAAACATAAGTGTATTTTTAATGGAGATTTTATGTTTCATAAACTGCTGTGTTAAGAATGTGTGATATAAGAAATGGGAACTACCACTACGTTATTCTCTAGGGTGTCTGCTTTTATAAAATATATGTTGGGGCAGTGAAAGGGTTAAAGTACAGTCATCCTTTAAGCCAAATATACAGAAAAAGGACAGTTAAGGCTCTCTTTGAAAAAGTGATGCTCCATCATCTTGTCATATTACTTAGCCTAACGACAGGTAGCCATTACTGCAATATGATGATCCTATCATTTTCAGACAGGTCTTCAGTAACCAACAGGAGATGAGAGTGAAATAAGACCAGATACATATTACTGTATAATAATACTGTCCAGTGATTGTTAAACATTGCCTTTGACGCACTGCTGCGTTCTCAGAAAACATATTGATGTAATTAGAGTACATATAGTAAACAGCACATTGATGATACTGCTGTTTTACACTTACAGAGGATAAAAATATGACTTAATGGGAGCCTGAGAGCCATTACGCTATTAGTCACTGTTATTTCAGATGATGATCCCTCATTAATGAACTGGCTTTGATACGGCCGTGTAGGAGAAGCACCCTCTAATGTTTCGTGTTAAGACTGACCTAGCCGATGAGAGCGTGACTTGGGAACAAAGGCTCACCAATACCCCTTTACCAGCATGAGGATACACATATCCCAGAGGACCTGAGTTGTACAAGTTCCTCCTCAGTATTTCTGAACTCCCTCAGCCTAAGAAGCACAATTTCCTGCTTGTGTTATATCAGCTGGGTTCTGTTTATTTCTCTTTGTGACGGGTAATAAGTATCCTCACAATGAACTTTTCAGGCTGTAATGAACTCACTGCATAAAATAAATACATAACTGACAAATTTAAGGCCTAAACATAACCGCTATAATAGAAGTAATCTTTCTTTCCCAATATAGCTCTGACATAAAAAAAATCCAAGATCTTAATTTCTTTTTTTGTAGACTTTTCAAATAATGCTGACTATAGAATCTGTTTTAGAAAAGGAAAACTATATATGTGAATGAAACCCAAGTAACACAGAGGTCCTACCAAGAGAAATTACTCAGACATCTTCTTTCATTTTTTTTTAGCATGCTCTAGTCTAGAGCATTTAACAATGACATTTAATTTAGTTTATTCTTTACATTGACTGCATAGCCTGGCATACTATGTATACTGTGCAACTTACTGTACATAGAAAACATTATAATAAACAAAACCCAAACCAATATAGTTTGCTTTTTAAAAAAGAATATACAGTGTTACCTCTACTATTTGGCCCAAGTCTTCCACATACATCTTCTCAGTTTCTACTAACTCCATTAGAACATACCTGTACGGTGTAGAAAAAGTAGAAGTAGTTATTAATAAATATATACTGTAACTACTGGATTGATATTACAATTGCTGTTCACAAGGTCAGTTTTCAGAAGGGAAAGCAATCCTGGATTTTCCAAGGTTTGTAAAACACATTAGCACTGGAAAGAGAACAATTAAAACTCCTGCTTCCATTTGGTAACAGAATAGCCTTAAGGACGGATATGAACTGAGTTCTCCAGTGTACTACCACAATACTGTGTGCATTAGTTTGGATGTGTTTTCCATAGTATTCAGTGGTAGACATCTGCCCAGAATTCTATACTTTGAAAAATATGATCCCTATATTTGAACAAGAAAAATATGATCCCAAACAGTGTTTCTCAACTTTTTTTTTAGTCAAGGCACCCTTTAAAATTCTGCATAATCTTGAGGAACCCTTTAAAATTCCGTGCAATCTTGAGGCACCCATTAAAAATGTAAAAAAAAAGAAAACAAATAGTTTTACAGAACGCAGCAACATCCTCAAACATAGGAAACCCAACGTTAGAGGTGATTTATTCTTCCAAAACAAATGCACCTTTGAACACTGGTTCTGACTAGTATACCAGTGTTTCTCTTTCCCCCTTCAGTTTCTATACCTCACTCAACTAATGTGATCCCAGTGCTGATGATTAGAGGAAGGGGAGGGCAAACAAGGATGATGTTGTTCAAGCACCTTACTAACCAGTGACATCATTGGTTGTTAGAACACCAGCAGCTAGAAGACCATAATGGTGCACAATGAAAACCATTGGTTTTGTGTAACTAAAAGGCAGATTTCAGCCACCCACTGGCTTGTATACAGTTTTTGGCCAATTTTTAGGAAATTTGCCCAGACAACCCTGCAGAAATCTGAAGGCACCCTGGTTGAAAAAGGCTGCTTTAAACCCATGATTTCTATGCAATGGTCTGAACAAAGCATTATGCTATTTGGCTAAATATTAATGATTGTTTTGAACTTTAATGTAAAGGACAGCTTGTAAAAACTGCAAACTCTATATACACTATTACCTCATTTACTATTATAACCAGTAAAAGTTACGTTACAACAGAAATTGCAGTTATTAGGCAATTTTACTATAAACATGAAAAAAGGGTAACTTAATTACTAATAGAATGCACATTTTCAAGAAAATATATCATTTTAAAATGGGCTTACTATTCATTGGATGAAAGGAGAAATCTGGATGAAATGTTGTTGGTATAAATAAAACTACATTTAATCACAAAACTATTTAGTGGCGCTTGCCTATAATTTCTAGTTTAATCAATTGTAAATGCAAATTTACAAGATTTTACTGCTCTTTCAAATCTTCCTTGCTTATTAAAAGTATTTAAGTAACACCAGCTGGAGCTACATGAAGCTGCATGAAGCTACATGTACACAGACAACACAATCTGTATCTATACGCTGTAATGGTGGCACAGCAAAAATATTACCGCAACTTCACCATGGTACAAGGTATGCTTGGAGGTGGAACTCTCCAGTAACGTCAGTGCTTTTCCAACTCTCCCCCACACCCACACAGTGTAAAGCCTAGTACACACAATCAGAAAATCAGATGAAAAATACCGCTTTTGAAACAATCGTACGATAATCTGATTGTTAGTGCTTTTGTCCAAAATTATTCGAATGGACAAGCACAATTTTTTTTTGTATGGTACCAGATCATACGATTTTCCTTTAATCAGTACAGTAGTCATCCGAAACAAATCGAAAGAGCAAAACCATGCATGCTCAGAAACAAAAGAATATATTACAATTACGTAATACAACACATTACATCACTTCCGAAGCTGTATTCTCTCATACAAGAATTTTCATAACTTTAGTAACCTCTTTATTTTTGATATTAGACTAGCATACAAGAAAAAAAAAGAAGGAGGATCGCTCGTCCAATATTCTCACTGCGTGTACCAGGCTTAATTGATGGCAGAGTTTCTTTCTGTGTCACGCCAATTAAGTGTTTTTCAGAGAAAATCTACATCACCCAACCACTCTGTAGCCACCCCCCCCCCCCCCCCCCGCCGCCTAGACTACAAAGTTTAAAATCAGAAGCAATAAAAGTGTCACTGTGTTAACTGACTTAAGTTGATCATTTTATAATATGTTACATTTTCATACATTAACATTTTAATAAGCTCCAAGGAACAGGGCCCTACTATCCCTCTTGTATTGAACTGTATTGTTGCTGTATTGTCTCCCATTATATTGTAAAGTGCTGAGCAAACTGCTGGCGCTACATAAATCCTATATAATAATAATAATAATCATAGTGGGACTTTTTCTAATAGACTATGTCTTTCTTCTGGCATATCCACTTCCACTTTAAAGCCACTTTTGTTTTGGGAAATCTCTCCTCATATCCTGTGTATTTGTTAGGAGTCAGAAAGAATGGGGAAAAGAGGAAAAATAAAAAAAAGTTATATTTACAGTAAGTAAGAAATATTTAGAATCTCTGTAAGGAGTTTTTTCAATCTACATCCCTATGTTAGAAATCTTCCCCCACCTCCAATCCAGATGAAAGGATTCAGACAGGATAGAAATAAAACAGAAATCCCCTCTAAAGTAACCTAGACAGCATTTAAAGTTCAACTTCCTTAATGGGCTCAAAGAGAACATATAAAACCTGGTAACATTTCTAACTGTTCCTTAAAAAAATAGGATTTTTGTGCTCACCATAAATTGCTTTTCCTGGAGTCCATGAAGGGTCAATAGAAGTCCTAAACCTTTGAGCTATACTGCCACCTGCAAGAGGGCTGGACACTAGCAAAACAAAAACTGTAGGCTATCCCAGAGTATAACCCCTCCCATTATCAGTAGGCCTCATTTCTGCAACAAAACAGTCCTTTAATGGATTCCAGGAAAAAAGATTGTACTGTACAAAAATCCTATGTTCTTTCGCATCCATTGTGGAAGACACAGGAAGTCCTAAACTTTCATGAAAACCAAAAGCAGTCCAGATCTATTCACAGATCTAGCAAAGTGAGCCTTAAAACAGAACTTTACCCATAACAATTTTATAAAGAAAGCACTGAGCAAACTGTTGGCGCTATATAAATCCTGTATAATGATAATAATAATAATAAGTAATGTCCTTTAGCAAGGAACATACATTCCACATGAATAATTATGCTACCAAAATTAGTGTGTGCTGTAAATTGCCTCCAGCATAATTCTTGTTTCTTTCTGCTGAAGCCCAGAGCCCCTGAGCAGAAGGAAATCTTTAGGTTATCAACAGATCGGCCTCTACAGTTTTGACATAGTGCCAAAAAATAGAGAGCAACTGCTGAGCATGTGTACAGCAGGGTGAGACAGTGTATTACTGGATTTTAAACAGTATTTTAATGCTTTACATAACTATACTGGAAAAGAGGGCCAGCCTGACTAAGGTTCCACTTAAACACGAAATGGGAGAACCCGATCCTTGAGACCATTAGTTTAAATGATGGTCTGTCTGAGCCATAGAAATGGTGCCAAGAGAAGACAGGGCACCCTCCTGGGGCCCATCAGGAATGACAAAAAAGTGACTGAAAAATAGACTTGCACTGTCTGAACCACATCCAGACAATGAAAGGCATTTTCCTATGGATGAACCCCAGCCAGACTAAGGGATGGGGGAACAATGTCCTGGTTAGAATAAACGGCAGAGGCTACCATGGGCAATAAGGAAGCCCTGGGCCTCAACACCACTTTCTCCCTATGAAAAACCAAAAAAAGGTTCTTTGCAAAATAAGGCCCCACTTCAGACACTTGCCTCAAAGAGGAAATAGCTACAAGGAAAGTATGTGTCTGTGTGGGGGGAGAGGCATGTCTCTAGTGGGATCAAATGGCAGCTTCTGAAGCAGAGAGAAACAAATTCAGATCCTGTGGAGTCACACAGGAACTGACAGGGTTAACTAAATGGTAAACCCCCTACACAAGGGTCTTTATAAAAGAGTGAAAAGCAAACAGTCTCTGAAATAGAATGGAAAGAGTAGAGACTTCACATTAGATGGTTCTGAGAAACAAACGTTGGTCCAGACACAACTGCAGGAAGGAGGGGATTTGTCCCACGGAGAAATTCCTGGGGTGATGAACCTTGCATGAAGTGGACGTTCTAGAATGAGAATTATAGTAATCCTTACTAAAAGCAGATAGTCTGTTCACTTTGCAAGATAATTTTCCCAAGATCTTAGTGAATACGGTAAAATTTCACTTTGCCAAGAATACCCTTTAATGTGCAATGAAAAGAAAAAAAGAAAATTTTTGCTTGCACATGATTGAATAATTTAAGTCAGTAGAACTTTGCCTCATACCCTAAGCTCTGCGGAAATTCCCATGCAATGTGCAACTTGCCTTGCAAAGTGAACAATCTATTTTCTTTTGGTGGAGGAACCCCATAGGCTTAGTACCCGAGCTTCAAGAGCCATGCCATTAAAGCAAGTGAGCAAGCAGCAGGATGCCACATGAACTATTACTAGATCAGGAAATCAGTACACCACATCCCACCTTTATACTACAAAATGCAAAACCATCACTTTAGGAACTTTAAGGTGTCATTATTGTAGAAAAATAGAACTTTGTTTTAGAATAACCATTGAAGTATAAAAAAAAAATTTTTTACTTTCAATTATTTTAAGAATCACATTTTATAAAACATCCTAAATTTTGTGGATCTACACATGGTCACATTGTAATGATGAATATATGTTTCTACCTATAGGTATGTCTTGTACCATCCACTACATAGGTTTCTAAAATCAGTTTTTGACACAATCCATTTTTTTTTCTTTCAGAAAGCACCAATACCTGTTGATAGAATGATGGCACTGTGTTATGCATTTCTCAGGCATCAGTCTGCTTGTGGTACCAAATGCATGCTAGAGGAGACACATGAACGGTAGAAGAGGGAGAGTGCAGAGGGGGCTGGGAATGAAACTCAAGGTTATAGCTCTGAAGCACCTCCTACATCATCCAAGCATCTAGAAAGCACGAAGCTCAAATGTCTGTAAAGGACAATAGATATCCCCCTCTTTAAAGTGGGGACACACCTTCAAAGGCTTGTCTGAGGATTTGGCAGGCTTAGAGTGCCAAACTTTGTGGGTGGATGTGAAGCCAAGCTTGGCGGGGAAAGGGACTCCTCAGTCCAACATCTTAGCCAAACTGCAATATGCATATGCACCGATAGTAGATGTATGTGAGAGAGAAGGAGTGAGGCTTCCAGCAAGCCATCATAGCTGACATGCATCCACAAACAGAGGGTCAATGGAATTGAAAGTTAGATCCCTTTTAAGGGATTTTGTCCACTCAGACTTGGTCTGGCAAAGTAAAATCACATCTTCATTGGAATATTAGTTGCTTAGTGTAACGGAACCGGACCCCGACTGCACTAGGGTATTTCCGTTAGACTCCCGCTTCCCTGTCCGAACACAGATCCACGGACACCACCGCTGACCATACAAGAGGAGACAGCACCAGACTTGAAGGATTCCAGGAGATAGACTGCTTTTTTTTTTAACATAGATACAAGATATATACACAGGGTGGGGAAATACACACTCAGTAACAGGAAACACATCAGCAGGCAGTCCCATCAGGAGGGAGGACTGCTGGAAACACCCCCCACCAAGCCAATACATAAACACATCCCATAATAGTTTGCTCCCAAGCAAGACACACAATAGAACAATGGGATGCAGCCACATGGCAGTGAACAATGAACAACCCCCACCTATACATGTCTACACAATATCAGGACATTCCACCCTGTACCCCTAACAGGCACAGGGTGACTTACACATAAGAGGGATATGGGGAGCTGAGACAGGAGTCTCCCCACCTCTCTAAAGGGGGCTGTGTTCCATGGGCCCCCCCACCCAAAGTGACTCCCGTCACACTTAGATAAGACAAGATATGGCCGGATCCAGAGGGAAGTGACCACTTTTCATCAAAATCCTCACCAAAATAGATATAAGGCCATCAAGAACTTAGAGGAAGCAAACAACCTGTCAGGGTGATCCCAATCTTCGTATAAAACTGAATAGTGGGTGGAAAGGGAAAGACCCAAGGTCAGAAACAGCACTGGTAGAAGCAACAGGCTGATCCTTTACTTTAAACAGGGTGCACACAGTATAAATAATGGCCAAAATGGTCTCTGTTAATTTGGGAGTGATAGCAGTAGACTGGCTCAGAAGCTGCTATAGCCACTGGCAAAATAGATACTGAATCTGCCAGAGTACACCTATGGCCTCAGATTCAACAAATAACTATATCATGCATGACAGTAGTAAAAACCTCAGACAAGAGGGCAGAGGACCCAGCTAAATTCAACAAAGCCAAGGAGTACTATGAAGACAAGAAGTACTTTATTAGTAGAACACAACACGACTTCATTCCCAGTAGGTGTGCTGCAAGCAGCTCCTGACCTGTTAGCATAAAATTAGCTGAGAGCACCCATTACAGCGGAATTGTACCTCATGTCTATAATCAAATATGCTGCAGTCGCATAGCATTTAGACAACATACTAGCTTAGGGTAAAAGGTTAGGACTCAATATTTTTAAAACTAGACAGCTGGTAGCAGGAAAGGGTCAGTGACCGGAGGATTGAATGGTCAGAGGGAACCAACATCAATGCAGGTAAGCAGTAGCAAAAGATCAAAGATTAGGGTTCCATGTAGCTCTTTGCAACAAGAGCAGCAGTGGGGAGATGTCTCCTCAATTCGTTGTAGAAGAAAATAGTTTGGAGTACATGAGACACTCCACCCAGTGAATGACACCAGCACACATTCAAACATTATTAACCCCTTTCATGGCAAAGCTGGCATTAAATGGGGAATAATAGCGCCCAGCAGCCAATGACAGTGAAAGAGTGCTCAGTGCTCGGCCCAACTTGACTTACTTCAGAGACACAGTAAGTGCAGAGGCAATGTCATCGGCTCTGGACCTGGAAAAAGTCTGCAGATAATTTAACCAGAACTGGAAAGCATGCCATGTAGAACCCAGTGCCTGAAGAACAATTTCAGGTTAGCCTCTCAATGTCCAGTCCAGAGGGTCCTGGTAATGTCCAAAAACCAGGCTGAGAATGGCTGTACCAGATAGCTGCTGATCATAGTGGAAACCTCTAGCAGTGATGTAAAAAAGAGTCCTAACTGAAGAAACAAAATTAAAAGAAAAAAAAGGTAGAAAAAAAAACCGCAGGTTAATATTAACAACAGCAAGTAAACAGCGACAGTCTGGTAGTGGGAGGGGATATAACTGGGCTGGCCCTTAGTTTTTTTTCCGTTTGTTTGACAGTGTTTAATCCTCCTGTAGGCGGCAGTAAACCAAAAGTTTTAAGACTTCCTGTGTTTTTTATTGGATAATAAAGTGATGCACAAATGCAATAAATAGCCATGCCATATGTTTCCAGTAACAAATCAAATTTATAAATCCTACCCTAAATTTATTTTATATGCAGATACTGTAGATCTTAAATTCCATTAATTATGTGTACGTACATTGAAGCGTTTACTGGCACTGGCAAGGCACTGATTTCTGGAATGCTAAACCCCATTCTTTTTACTTAAAATAGATATAGTACATGAATGTCATCACTTGCTGGATTAATGAGTAATGTTTTGCTACAGGGACACCACCCATTAAACATAAACAGCTCAGTAATCACTGCAAGCAGACTCTAGACCCACTCTAAATCAAAGAGCTGATAATGTAGGAAGCAGCTACTGATTGGTCACATCCCTCGGAATGCACTTCTATTGTCAGGTGCTGGAGAAAGCCTTCTTACAAGTCTATGTTTCTTTTCCTTTGGACTTATCAGTGGGCCAGCATTTTTCCTCACCACAGACGTTATCATCCATGAACTTAGCCATATCTCCAATGGCCCCAGCATTCCTATCATCAAAGGCATTACTGAAAATATGAGTCCCTTTCTCACTTATTTAACTTTGGAAAGTGCTGTACATGCAGGCACAGTTCCACTGCTTTAATCAGACATTGCAACTTTTTTAATCTGGCCAGCACATTAACATGTATATTCAGATTACCTAAATACATATACACATATTAAGATAGGAGAGGCAAGTGAATGTCTGTCATTGTTTAAAAATGGCTTCTACCTATAAGGGCCATCAACTAATTTGGGAAGAAAGATGAATAAAAGCCCATTTCCCATAAGCCCCAAAAAGGACTCACTTACATACTCTTTTCTAAGGCACTCTTCCTTTCTTCTTCTGTTTCTTCAGGGGAATAGGAGGAAACAACAGACGTTTCAGAAGCTATAGATTCTTTCTTTCTGGAGTCTGGGAGGTAGGGTGTGTGCGGATCCTGAAAAAGAAAATAATTAACCCATCTTCTATAAACAAATCCATCTTTGTCTTTTGTATGAATGAATGAATTGCTGTGATCAGTTATAAAGATTAACACAAAGAGCTGGCAGGGGTTTCATGTATCGAGAACAGAGGGCCTGGGTGGCAACCTCCTAATATATAGCAGGTTCATAGCAGCTGAGATGACAGAGGTTCCAATCACTACCCAGCCCACAACTCTAAGGGACCCAGAAATGGCTTTCCTTATTTGAGAATGCTTTTCTCTTACTGTAGAAATGGAAGCATCATGTCAGGAAACTAATGCAGCTAATTCTCATTCTCATGCAGATAATGCTCATTTTTCACGCAGCTAATGTTCATTTCCGTGCAGCTAATGCTCGTGCATATGTACCAGCACACAGATGAGCTTGGGCTAGTATCCAGCCTGCACTGGCACGTAGGTGCATTTGTGTGCGACTGCGCACATAGGCACATACCTCCAAGTGCATTGGTGCCAACTTGTCTATTTAAAGGGGATTCTGATGTGTGCTAATCATTGTTTTTCAGCTTCACCATAGTTTGTGTACTGGCTTTTGCTGACTGATCCTCTGTTGCTGACCCAGCTTGTTCCTGACCTTGTTCTGTGGCTTCTAGATACTGACTTCTGCTTGTCTCTATTCTCTGCCTGCTTCACTAGCACTGAACTTGGCCTGCTACTGGACATTGCTATTACTGCTTCCCTGGTAATGACCTCAGCCTGCTTCCTGACTATGCTGCTGTCTTACTGTATATGTCCCTGGCTCACCTTGACTATGTCCCTGACCTTGGCAGTCACCTGCTATCAAGCTACAGGCACCCATGCTTCTTTGAATCTTGTACCTCTGTCACCACATTCAGGGTGCTTGGACCAGAGCCACAAGGAAAGCCTTCTTGTCAAATCAGCCTCCAACCAAGGTACATGACACATCACCGTGGTCAGAAGACAACCACAAGATCAAATGTTTGCTGTTTTGAGTAAGGTATCTGTGTTTCTAGTGGGAATTCGCAATGAGTAATTCTAAACAAAATAATGTCAATCAAGTAAAAAGGCTTGTTATGGTTGTTTAAAGTTCAGAACAAATGTTGCAAATAGCAGTAAAGCACCAGTAAAGTATATGGCTCTGGCTTACCCTACTTAATCAGAAACCCACTTTGGTTTTGAATTGTGTCGATAAAAAGGTCATTATTTGCAGTCATGGTTCTAAAAAAAATGTACACACACCTACAATAGAATGATTGATTCAATATGGGGATATCATACTTCCTGGTGATCTGTTACCCTGAAAGCAAGGGGGTGTTAGTGTAAATTAGAGTACAGTTACAGCCAAAAACATAAATGTATTTTACTGGGATTTTATGTGATAGACCAACACAAAGTGGCACATAATTGTGAAGTGGTAGGAAAATGATAAATGGTTTTCAAAACTTTTTACAAATAAATATCTGAAAAGTGTGGTGTGCATTTGTATTCAGCCCCCTTTACTCTGATACCCCTAACTAAAATCTAATGGAGCCATTTGCTTTCAGCAGTCACCTAGTTAGTAAACAGAGTCCAACTGTGTGTAATTTAATCACAGTATAAACACAGCTGTTCTGTGAAGCCCTCAGAGGTTTTTTAGAGAACACTAGTGAACAAACAGCATCATGAAGGCCAGGGAACACACCAGACAGGTCAGGGATAAAGTTGTGGATATGTTTAAAGCAGGGTTAGGTTATAAAAAATATCCCAAGCTTTAAACATCTCACGGAGCACTGTTCAATCCATCATCCAAAAATGGAAAGGGTATGGCACAACTGCAAACCTATCAAGACATGGCCGTCCACCTAAACTGAGAGGCGAGGAGAGCATTAATCAGATAATTAGCCAAGAGGTCCATGGTAACTCTGGAGGAGCTTCAGAGATCCACAGCTCAGGTGGGAGAATCTGTCCACAGGACAACTATTAGTTGTGCACTCCACAAATCTAGCTTTTGTGGAAGAGTGGCAAGAAGAAAGCCATTGTTGAAAGAAAGCCATAAGAAGTTGCGTTTGTAGTTTGTGAGAAGCCATGTGGGGCACACAACAAACATGTGGAAGAAGGTGCTCTGGTCACAAGAGACCAAAATTTAACTTTCTGGCCTCAAAGCAAAATGCTATATGTGGCGGAAAACTAACAATGCACATCACCCTAAACACACCATCCCCCCTGTGAAACATGGGTGGTGGCAGCATCATGTTGTGGGGATGCTTCTCTTGAGCAGGGACAGGGAAGCTGATCAGAGTTGATGGGAAGATGGATGGAGACAAATACAGGGCAATCTTAAAAGAAAACCTGTCAGTCTGCAAAAGACTTGACACTGGGGTGAGGTTCACCTTCCAGCAGGACAACGACCCTAAACATACAGCCAGAGCTACAATGGAATGGTTTAGATCACAGCATATTCATGTGTTGGAATGGCACAGTCAAAGTCCAGACCTAAATCTAATTGAGAATCTGTGGCAAGGCCTGAAAATTGCTGTTCACAGATGCTCTCCATCCAATCTAACATAGCTTGAGCTATTTTGCAAAGAATGGGCAAACAATTTCACTATCTAAGGGGGGCTGAATGCAAATGCATGCCACATTTTTCAGATATTTATTTGTAAAAAAGTTTGAAAATCATTTATCATTTTCTTACCACTTCACAATTATATGCCACTTTGTGCTGATCTATCAGATAAAATCCTAATAAAATAAATTTACGTTTTTTGTTGTAACAAAATTTCAAGGGGTATGAATACTTTTTCAAGGCACTGTAAATGACAGTAAGAATATAACTGGATCCTACCTGAACAACATTAATGAGATCAAAGATCACTAGGGTTCAATGCCCTTTTTTTAAATGAAATTAAGTAACAAAGCCTAATTAAATAACAAGGAAAACTTTGACAAATATAATAAAATAAGCGTCACTGTAAAACTAAAAAAATTATCCTACCCTAACAGAGCACAGTTAGTAGAGCAGTGGACAGTGCCAGTAGGGAAGTGGATGGTGTGTGGATAGTGTCAGTAGAGCAGTGGATGGTGTCAGCAGGGCAGTGGATGGTGTCAATAGGGTAGTAGATCATGTGTGGACAGTGTCAGTAGGGCAGTGGACAGTGTCAGTTGAGCAGTGGAAGGTTTCAGTAAGGCAGAGGCTGCTGTCAGTAGCTTTTTATTTGTAATATTGTATTTTTGTATTTTTTTTAGAATTTTTTTTTTGTTTACAATTTTTTTAGGAGCCTCATTGGGGGGCTTTGATGAAATGTCAGGGGTCAAACAGACCCCTGATGTCTGACTTTTGAGACAGAGGAAGGGATACCTCAGTTTCTTTCTCTGCAGCCTCAGCTGCACTGCACAGTAAATGAATGGGAAGTGCTCTGTGCTGAGCAGCTTCCTGTTCATTCATAACTGAAGCACAGTAAACACAGTTTAGTATGCTTCAGTTATGAATGAGTTAGTGATCGGTACGGATTACTGACTGTGTTCGCTCAGAAAAGGAAGGAGCCAGTAAGTGACACATTTGCCACCCCCTTCTCCACTCTCCATCCTGAAAGCATCCCCCACAGCAGCCGGTGGAAGATGTGAGGAGGGGAACACGCTGTGGGGGAGTGAGGGGGCAAAGGAGCACATGGGGGGCAGAGCAACACCAGGAACAGGAACCTGGAGAGGAGGGGTGGTGGGGGCAGCATTAAGTGGAACCAAAGGCTGTATTTTTCTCCCTGCAGCAGCTGAATGCAGGCTACTCTCCAGGTTCTGGGGTTTGCTTTCAAGGTGTGCGATCTACCCGTCACCTGCCCGCAATTGATCCCGATCGGCAGTTTGCCAACCCCTGCTATAGAGTACACATCAATCCATAGTTCCTATTTAAACATTCAAGCCCATCTCCAGGAAACCTGAAAATTTTTCCTTGCAGTGGGATTGTGCCTGTACTACAAGCGTCAATGCCTTGTTTAAGTCTAGGAGGCATGGAAAAGTAGGTTTACCTACACTGATAGAATGGTCCCTGCACATCTTCTCCCCCATGGCCCATGGGACAGTCCACCACTGGAGCATGGGGGAGTGTTGTCTGCCAGGGTAGTTGAGGATCAGGTAAGAAAACATCCTTTTACTCTCCCCTAGACATAAGCAAGCATTTAACCCTTGCAATATAGTTGCAGCTCCACTGCAAGGGAAGGTTTACATGTTTTCTGGAGTTGGGCTTTAAATGTAAATCCAGTCATAACATTTTTATTTTTCATGCAGTGAAACTCAATTACAGCAAAAACAAAACACATCAGACTTTACTGGCACAAAAAAGAACATTCATTACAAAATATAAAAATGTAGAAAAATGTTTATTACAAAAGTGTTCTTAAAATCACAGGGGGTACCCATTAAGGGTCATAAAAACAAAGCTCACATATATTTATAAATTCAATGACCACCTATGACACATGCTCCACAATAACGTATTGCGTTTGTCATAGAAATAAACATGACTTACTCCCTTATTACTACATTAGAATATTCTGTGTGATTAAATCCTTATAGGTCAATGTGGTTCTCAATTCTGCTTCTTCAGGACTATAGAGGAAATTAACAGTGGAAACTGGAATATGTGTGTATGGCTAAGCACAGGAAACTCCCTGGGTGTGCACTGAGACAACAAGAGGACCAAAGTTGGGCAACAACCAGGACTCTGTTATAAAGATGACATAGAAGGGTCTGAGTCAATAATACAGTAGATATTAAAGGTCTACAGACCCCTGTTAAAATGTCAGGTTTCTGTGATGTATAAAAACTTTTCCACCTTTAATGTGACGTATAAACTGTACAACTCAATTGAAAAACAAACTGAAATCTTTTTTTTGGGGGGGTGGGGAAGTAAACATAAAAAAACTAAAATAATGTGATTGCATAAGTGTGCACACTCTCTTATAAATGGGGATGTAGCTGTGTTCAGAATTAAACAATCACATTCAATATCATGTTAAATAGGA